TTTTTGAAAATTTATTTATTTTTATGTGAATCTACATGCTTTTCTGCATATTTTGATGCAATAAGAAATTTCATTGTCGCACTGGTTCAAATTTTGCTCAATTGGAAATCTTGGGAATCTGGGCGTCACTTTGGGCTAATTTCTGGGCCCAGAAATCCTAGATTTGGGAACTTTGGACGCGCCATAAGATATACAAGAAAGTGTTTTTCAGTTGATTTTTGACCTTTATTGACCATTTTCAGAAGTCAGCTCGGCTGTCAAGTTTTCGATCATTTGGAAAACTTGAAGGGTGTAAAACAGAGCTAAATGAAAAAATCTTCATTCACAAAAATTATTGAAAATGCCTAGTTTTTCAGCTATTTGCCGATTTCCGAAAAACCTGTTTTTTTTCGTTTACAGTCACAAACAGAGCAAAAAGAGGTGTCTTCCAGAAATCATCAAATTGCTGAAAAACTAGGAATTTTCAAAAAATTACGAGAATGCAAAGTTTTCAATCTAGGCCTGCTTTACAGTCTCTATAATTTCCAAAGTGATCGGAAATTTGACAACCGAGCTCCAGGCTCCTGAAAATGACCGAAATTCAACTTAAAAATACTTTTCGTATATCTTATTGACCGATACTGTATATTCTTTGAATTTCTTGAAATCCATTTCAATCTATTTTGTGGTTAAAAAACTCCAGAATCTTAGTTTATCAAACTTCCAATTTTCCAGAAGGACTCATTTGACATGATGTCCGCATTCTCGAACCCGACTGTCAGCTTGCCACCTGTCACCTATTCCCACTACCAACGATCCGCTTACAACGCCACCGTCGACAGTCTCTACCGATGAACTACCGTACTCCTACCCCTCCTGCTCATTTATCTAATCCAGTTTTTACGGTCATTTTTTCTTTCTTTTTAGTATCTTCGGAAATCTTAATTTTTTCTTAATTTCTGAATTTTTTATCTGTTTTCTAGCTATTAATTCATTTTAATTTGCTTCCAACAATAATAATTACTTTCCTGATTCAATCCTGATTAAATTAAAATTACCCCTAGTCCTTCTGGTCCTTCTGGTCCCTTTGGTATAACGAGAACGATTTGTTGCTAAGAGAAATAAGGTACATGACTCATCTCTCTTCCGTTTCTTTCTTCTAAATCGTAACTTCTCATTCTCATTATTTCCCCCAATGCATCTTATCTCGATTTTTGATCGTTCATTCCTTATTACATTCATCTTATACACGTCCCGATTTTCTTTTCTATTTATACCTTTTCCTAACCATTCTTTTTATTTTCATTTGAACCTATTTTATAATTTTTTCCTGTATTTCATAATTTTTAAAAAAGTAATATAGTAAAATAAATAAAGTGATGATACTGCTGACTCAATTAGGAAAAAGTTGTCCAGTCATCAATTGTTTATCAAGCGAAATGGAAGAAGAAAAAAGGAAGAACTCCTTTTTAGTCGTATAAATATAATATGTTATGTTCTTTCCCAAACAAAAGAACATTCTATAAAATATAAGGTCATTTCGTAATTGAAATTCTCGGTTGTTATATTGAAGATGTCTTTCCGCCACCATTTCCTCATTTCTGGTAATATTATTTTTATATTAGAACGCCGAATTCGACAGATTAGACCAAAATCGGTGCCTCCTAGTAGTTTTTTGGCGTCCTTGACGTTATTCCTCCACACTTCTTCTCCTTCTTCTCACAACTAATCTTCCCGGTCTTCCGACCACCTAAAAAAAAGTGGACAGCGATGAAATATGCATGGCGGTAGTACCTCTTTTCCTTTTTTTTCTTCCTTTCCCCCGAAAACCGTCCATTTTGAGTAGAAAAAGCCTCAAGTGCGATCCTCCCCTTCACGCCTTCTACCTTCGCTTCTACTGAATCTATTGTTCGAACGCGCTAGAATGTTCAGAATTTTCCTTTTTTTCTCCTCTTCATTGCCTATTTCCATCCTCCCACACATTATGATAATTACATTTCCCCTCTTCCTGCAACAGTGTTCCATTTGACATTTACTTTTCTGTCCCCTCATTTCCCACCAATTCCTAACATCTCATTTTGGCCCCCTTCCCCTCCTAGCTTCTTGGATGCCAATCCAGAAAAGCGAGATAACCGAATCGAGAGGACAGACGGATGGCGCCCGTTCGTTTCGATATTCGGCGCACATCACGCGGAGTGAGGAGAAACCAATTTTGGCATCTGTCACTTGAGCGTGCCCGTACTTGTACCAACCTCATGGACACAGCACCAACCATCCGTCCCCCGTTTTCTCAAGATTGATGTTGTTGTCATGAAGACTCTATCCGGCTGCTGTCTAATTGTAGATGCATTTTGAAATTTCCTGTGGCGGTTTTGTTTTTCGTTCGGTGCGATGAGTCATTTTAGTAGAATAGTTTGCGAATTCGAAGCTAGATCGTGGAAAATCGATATTAGATGTTTTTTCCAAGAAGGCAAGTGTTGATAGTTCATCCAATTTTGATTCATATTTTTGCAAATTGGACATTTTCCTAATATAAAAATTGATTGTGTGGTATATGAAACACTGGTAACAAAAGTCTCAATACGAAAACTACTGTAACCTAAACCCTTTTTCATCTTTTCGGATATTTTTTTCTCAATTTTTCTTGTTTCCGTTCTTTATTTTTCCAGATAATTTCTCGTTTTTAATGATTTTTGACAATTTTTGTGTTATTCTCTCCCAACCTAGTTTGAAAATTAGGAATATGCTATAGACAAAATCCAGAAAAATGAATAAAAAAATTTGAAAGAATTGAGATTTCTGAGTTTTCGAACTTCCGACTACGTCCACCAGCGTTTAGCTGAAAACTTCAAGAATTTCAGTTTTTCAGAAACTCTCCAGATACTTCCCATCTACGTGGTTTTCAGAGCTCCACTTGAAAATTTTCCACAAATTTTCTCCAAAATTTTTTTGGCTTTTCTCAAGAGATGCATGAGAAAACCAAATCTAAAACTCCTTTTTTCCTACTTTTTCCCATGCCATTTTGCTGAGAATTTTCAAAAAAAAATTAGCTTCTCCTCTTTTCTTTTTTGCCTACCATTCGACTTGCTGACTCAATGTTTCCAAGCGCCCGAGTTTTTTTTTTCAAAATCTTGTGATTAGTCATTCAAGCTAGGTCATTCCTTCTATCAGAGAAATGAAAGCATTTCATAATAATGGCTTCGGAATAAAACAACAAAACAAAATTCAATTTGATGATTGATCAGCTATTTGTTTCAAAACTGGGTTATATATTAGTCACGATTTGACCATTCCCCTTCTTTTCTTCCTCATTTTTTCATTTTTCTTTTTATTCTTGGGGAATTTTGGTTCTAGGTTCTGTTAGTTGTCCTTTTCCTCTTGCTCTCGGTCAATCGGCTCCATCATGGGTCGAAAAAAAATCGGGAAAAAAATCTCTTGTTAGTGCACACCCCTCTAACCCAATTCGGTTCTATTTGACCATCAGCTAAACACCCGCTTTTTTAAGCCGCCTGTTTTGCAACCTTCTTTGTTTTCCGTTTTTCTCCTTTTTTGGGCTCCGGGGGTTCTTCCAATTCTCCGACATCATTGGAGCAAAACCGATGAATGGAAATGCAAATGTGGAGAATGGAGAAGTGGTAGAAGAAAAAGGAAAAGAAGAAGGAGAAGGAGAAGAATAAGCCATCTAGCACAATGCGCGGAATAAGGAATGATGAGAAGAAGCGAGCCCCCCCCCTTCTTGGGAACGATTGGCGTTGCTTGATGCATGTTGCCTTCTTCTCCTTCTTCTTCTTTTTCCTTCTTCGTTCTTTCTCAGACCACCCACCACTTCAATCGTCCGTCCCTCCGTTCATCTTGTTTCACGAGACTATGAGAAACCAAGACTTGCCCTTCTTCTTCTCACTGGTGTCCCTATTTTGAACCCTCTCTCTGTCTCTTTTCACTATTCTTCTTCTTCCTCACACAACTGGTCACTCTTATTTTCATGCCATTCCGACCACCAACAAGCCCTTGTCCCCCAATCTAATGTTGGGCCTTTCTTTTTCCTTCGTTCGACTTAATCGTTTATTTGTCACAACCTCATCTTTTCCGGTCCTCATATTCCTAAATACTAAATCTTTCCCACTTTTCATCGTTCATTACCCAGTCCTTAGTCTCCCACCGTCATAACAATAATAGGAAGCAACAATTATTGGCTGAAAAAATATGAGGAGTGGTCTTTGTGTTTTGACTGTCTTGTAGGCATTCTATTGTAGGCATAGGAGGTTTGTCCCAATTTTTGGATTTTGAAAAAATCATTTGAATTGAAATTTTGAACTTGGTTGCTGAAGTTTTTAGAATTCTGGAGTTGAAAAAATAGCCTGAGATTTTTAAATTCATTTAAATTCAAAGATTTCTTAAATTTTTAAATTCATTTAAATTCGAAGATTTCTTAAACTCAAAGATTTTAAGAAAAGGAATTACTTAAAACTTGAACTTTTGAGTAAAAGTGTTAAAAATATAGAAATCTGAAATTTTTCAGAATCTCAGAATCTCAGAATCTCAGAATCTCAGAATCTCAGAATCTCAGAATCTCAGAATCTCAGAATCTCAGTATCTCAGAATCTCAGAATCTCAGAATCTCAAAATCTCAGAATCTCAGAATCTCAGAATCTCAGAATCTCAGAATCTCAGAATCTCAGAATCTCAGAATCTCAGAATCTCAGAATCTCAGAATCTCAGAATCTCAGAATCTCAGAATCTCAGAATCTCAGAATCTCAGAATCTCAGAATCTCAGAATCTCAGAATCTCAGAATCTCAGAATCTCAGAATCTCAGAATCTCAGAATCTCAGAATCTCAGAATCTCAGAATCTCAGAATCTCAGAATCTCAGAATCTCAGAATCTCAGAATCTCAGAATCTCAGAATCTCAGAATCTCAGAATCTCAGAATCTCAAAATCTTAGAATCTCAGAATCTCAGAATCTCAGAATCTCAGAATCTCAGAATCTCAGAATCTCAGAATCTCAGAATCTCAGAATCTCAGAATCTCAAAATCTCAGAAACTCAGAATCTCAGAATCTCAAAATCTCAGAAACTCAGAATCTCAAAATCTCAGAATCTCAGAATCTCAGCTCGGGAAAATTTTTGAATCTTTGATGTCTTTGAATCTTTGAATTCCAGAATCTCAGAATTTCACATTTTCGAAATCACAAAAAATATTTTCCGCTTGTTGATGAACCATTAATACACTTTCTCATTTCCTCATTCGGGGGTTACATATTTGATTAACCTCTCAACTGATAAGATTCTTTTATCAATTTCCGTTTTCCTTAGATCACCATTCTCCAGATGATACTACTCCATGTGTCATCTTTCCCTTATCACGGCGTTCCCTTCTTTCCCACTTTTCTCCCTTCATTATCATATCAATACCACAACTTGATTTTTGATTTACCCGCCAGAATCTATTATTCTCTTTTTTTCTGACACCTACCAAGACCAAGACGTGTCAATCGTTCACCTCCCCCCTTTTTCTCATTCATTTCGACAGATGTTGTTGAGTCAAACCGCACCAAAGACAGTAAGACTCTTCTTGTTTTTGGGGCGGAGGGGAACCAAAGGAAAATTGAAAAAAAAAACGAATAGAAAGAGACAAAGGTTACGAAATATGGTTGGCTTTGGCTTTGCTGCGCCCCGTGATTCTGTCAGCTTACGTCCCTTATTTTTTGTTGAATAGCTACTCCTGAATAGTCGCATTGCGAAATAATGTGGTTCATTGTGAAACAGACTTTTGGACTCTTAAATTTTATGACAACCCAGCCCCGCCGCTGGCCTTTGAACCGCACCTTTTTGTTTCAAATAGCAACCAAATTGGATATTTAGGGGTTCTGAGACTTGATAAATTTCACTTTTCCGAATTTCCGCGCAATTTTATGAATATGTAACGACTAACGAGTTGAGTAGTGCCTCTAGTTGGCCTCACTTTTCATTCATTTTCGGCGCCTAAGAAACAATGGAACGTAGTTCACAGGAACACGGTAGCATCTCGTCGAAAACTTTCAACACGGCCCGACTATTTGCCAAGCTACGCCGTCAAAAAACTGGCCCTAAACGTAGGTTTCAATTTTCTATGTACAGTACTAGCCATGAATATATGAGAAAGCGTGTTTTTCAGTTGGTTTTTACCATTTTCTGGAGTCTTGAGCTCGGCTGTCAAGTGTCGTATCGTTATGAAAATTTGGGAGGAAAACAGACCTAGATTGAAAATTTTGCAGTTACATTTTTTTTTGAAATGTTCTAGTTTTTCATTTATTTGCCGCATTTCTGATCCCTATTTTTGTACTGAAAAAATTCAGGTGTCCTTCGGAAATCGGCGAATAGCTCATAAACTAGGAATATTCAAAAAATTCTGTAAATGCAAATTTTTTAATTCACATCTGTTTTACATTCTTCTGAGTTTACAAAGGGGCCCGACTCTGGACAGCCGAGCTCCAGCCTTTTGAAATTGATCAAAATCAACTGAAAAACACTTTTTTAAAAATATACCGTAAACACTCTAATAGAAAGCCATCCGGACCGTCAACTTTGAGCTTATATATTTTATTTCTTATAGAAGATATCAGAAAGTTGTCAACTAATAAAATGTTTATCATGTTATCAGCAACATTTTATTAATTAACCACGTTTCGATATCTTTCACAGAAAATGAGATACATGGGCTCAAATTTGACAATAGATTCGGATGACCAGAACTTTAAAAATGTATTACATCTTGTTTCCTTCCTTCTTTAATCTCTTGTACTGGTAACAAATGTAACAATATTTGCAAGAATATATATGCCAAATTGTGCAGCTCATGAACAATTCCATTATTCTCGTATTTTTGATTAATTGAAATTGAATCCTTCACCCTTTCAAGTGGTAGTCAGGCGAGTAATGGGTAATATGAGACAGTGGTGCTAATTTCTAATTTCATTCCAAAATTTGCCAAGACATATGTGAAGGTTCTTTCCCCGCATTTTTTTCGGCGGTTTTTGTTGCTTCTTCTCTGTTCCAACGCATGTATATGAGTCAGATTCTGAGTTTCATGGGGGTGTTCCTGGCAATAGATTGTTTCTAGAAATGAAAAACAATAAAATGAGTCAGAGCCATACACAGGCGCCGCCTTCCCGTCACCATAAAAAGCTCTACCGCGCTTTTTGTCGCTTCTCTATTTTGAGACATTTTCTGTTCTAAAAATGTCGTCAAGATACACGTCCTCGTACACTTCTCGGTATGGAAGTGGCGGCGATTATGGCTCCAGCTCGTACAGTAGCAGCCGCGACCGGGATACTAGTAGCTATCGGGACAGAGACTATTGCTCGTCGTCTCGCTATTCATCGAGACCCAAATATTCGAGCTATGCTTCCAAGTACACTACGGACCTTGGAAAATCTACTGATAGTAAGCAAATGCTATTTTTTTGTCAGTTTCTATCCTCTACTTTCCGCTTCTTAATTCTTCGGCTTTTTTGGTTATCTATGATTCTCATCTGGTTTGTAGTACCCGCAAAAGTGGAAAATTTTCAGAAATGGAAGACTACACCGCTGCTGCTCCAATCGCCAAGGACGAGATCGAAGAGCTGTCTTATGATGGTGAGTTATATAGAAATCTCAAATCCTAGACCTTGAATTCTGTATTCCTGGAGTTCTGTAATTGCGGAAATCAAAAATCCCAGAATTCCGAAAATCTTGAATTCTGGAATTCCGAAATTCTGGAATTTCGGAATTCAAAATGCTAGAAACCTAGAAATTCAAAATGCTAGAAACCTACAAGGGAATGTCGTTCAGAAAGCTCTTCAAAATTTTCTCTAAATTTGTTCATTAATAGAATCGAGTATGGGCTTTCACGTAATAATAGTCGCTACCTGCAAAACTCGCTGAAACTCGAGAAAAAAAGATCTGAAATTATAGCATTTCTACTAGTCTCATCGCCTCCCTTTTCCTCCCCTTTTTTCACTGCGTTGCGTGCACGACAAAAATATGCCTTGGTAGCCTAGTGGCTAGCAGGGAGGACCACGAAAACACACATGCAGGTTCAGACCCTCTTTCTTTTGGTTTTATTTCTTTCATTCTTTCAAGCTTAAAAATTCCTTTTCGAGGATTTTTTGAAATGGGAAACACTGTTTTGAACATTTTTTATGATCTGAAATGATTTTCGAATAATTTCAAAAAAAGTGAAACTTCATTAAAATCAATCACAGATAAAATTTTCATATGTTTTTGTACTTTTCAGTTGATTTCAAGCAATATTTGAGTAATTACTATTTCTTAAAATTCGTGCAATAATCATATTTTGAGAATCATCAGGGCTCACAGACTAAATCGGGCTACCAAATTTTGTGAGAATGATGTTTTTATCCCTTCTGAATGTTTGAAATACTTTTCTGCACTTTTGAAAAAAATTTCAAAATTTATGAAAAAAAAGTGTGTGGGTGATTTTTCTCAAAAAAAATGTTTTTTTTTTAAATTTTTCTAAAATCATTTCAGATTATAGAAAATATTCAAAACAGTGTTTCCCATTTCAAAAAATCCTCGAAAATGACTTTTTAAGCTTGAAAAAATGAAAAAAAAAATGAAAATTAAAGGAAGAGGGTCTGAACCTGCATGTGTGTTTTCGTGGTCCTCCCTGCTAGCCACTAAGCTACCGAGGCATATTTTTGTCGTGCACGCATTGCAGTGAAGAAAGGGTAGAAAAAGGGAGGCGATGGGACTAGTGGAAATGCTATAATTTCAGATCTTTTTTCTCGAGTTTCAGCGAGTTTTGCAGGTAGCGACTATTATTACGTAAAAGCCCATACTGGATTCTAGAAATGAACAAATTTAGAGAAAATTCTGAAGAGCTTTCTGAACGACATTCCCTTGTTAGAATCGTGATATTCTGAAATTTTGGATATTAGGATTCCTATCATCTCAACATTGTTGAATACGAAAACCCGAGGATTCTGGAATCCTGGCATTCTATCTGACATGCTGGAATTCTATAATTCTGGGATCTTGTAATTAGAAAAATTTATAGGTTCAGAATGCCTGCGTTCTTAACACCGTAGAGTCCCATTGGATTGTTAGAATTTCGGAAAAGATAAAACCTTAAAGGTGGGGGGACAGGAAATTTTTCGTAGGATTTTTGTAGCCAGGGTATGCATTTTACCGTGACGGTGTATAACGCTTAATGTCACTCTGCGTACAGCGGCCGTCTTTGCCTTTATGTATGCTTTCGGCCGCCGGCTGCCCTTTTCCGCGCGTGGCTCAGTCGGTAGCGGCGCCGCACCTTCAATACTTGTCCCGACAAGTTCAACTCCTTGAGGGGCATATTCAAACGGAATTTGGAGAACATTATTTTTTTTCATGTCCCCCCCACCTTTAAAAATACAAACATTCAAAATCCAAGAAACTTGCTAAATTATTCTTTGTAAACTTAAATTACTGTATTATGTCTTTTTTCCAGCCAAGACTCCAACCACCCCAACTGAGGAGTTCGTCGCTGCTCCACGTGAGGTGCTCCAGGAGAGCCAGATTTCGGACTTTGTCGAAGAAGAGGACGACGCCGACAAGGCCAACGAGGTCGAGGAGGTCAAGTTGACTCTCGAGTCGCAAGTGGAGTCGGAGCAAGAGTCCGAGGTCGAGAACAACGACGACGAGGACGAAGTTCGCAAGGCTCAGGAGTTACTCGCTTCGAGCACTCAGATTCGCGAGGATTCGCCAGTCGCGTCGCCAGTCGCTTCGCCAGTCAAGGTCTCGTTCGCTGCTGAGACTTTCGGTGCTCAGGATAATGGAAACGAGGCTGAGAATCGCACTCCGAGCCCAACTGTGCTCAACGCTAAGGTAAATTAAGTAGAATCTTGGATCAGCTAATGAATGCTTGAATTTCAGAAGCTTGGAGGGATCCCATGGCCACCAAAGGCTAGCGGCGATGTCAAGAAAGAGGGCGGAGACGTTGAGGTTCTTCCGAAGAGTGAGTTATAGTTTTCATAGAAATTTTCAGTTACGAATTAGAGCACCGGCCAATAAGAAATAATAAAGCGTATTTTTCAGCCGATTTTCAGGTGTCTGGAGCTCGGCTGTCAAGTTTTCGATCATATAGAAAAATTTGTAAAGTGTAAAACAGACCTAGTTTTAAAACTTTGCATTCACAGAATTTTTCAAAAATTCTTCGTTTTTCAGCTACTTGCCGATTTCTGAAAGATATCCCTTTTTTTACTGAATACGCGAAAAAAACAGGTGTCTTTCAGAAATCGTCAAAAAGGTGAAAAACTAGAAAGTTTCAAAAAATTCTGTAAAAGCGAAGTTATCAATCTAGGTCTGTTTCACACCCTCCAAAATTTTCAAAATGATCGAAACCTTAAAAACCGAACTCCAGACTCCTGAAAATGGTCAAAATAACCGAAAATCAACTGAAAAATGCGTTGTTGTATATTTTCTTGAAAGGTGCTGTAGCATAACTTGAACCGAAAATACTACCTCACAGACCGTCTGTATGAACTTATGATGGTTTGAGCTAATTTATATTTTTTCAGAGCGCGTCAGCGATCTTATTGCTCGCTTCAACACTGGAATCTCGGACGAGTCGAAGAAGACCGACGACTCTTACAAGAACGAGTACGGAGCTGGTTCCAACGTTGGGAAGGTCTCCACCCACAACTTCGCCTGATTTCTTCAACTGCCTTGTGACCTTTTGCTTCTAAATTGTCTCGCTTTAAATATTAAACAAATCCACACAAATTATTTCGAATCCCTCTTCTCCGTTTCCTTATTTAAATCTTTCTTTTCAAGTATAAAAAACATAATGTGTGCAAACCAATAAATTATATAATTTTAATTTTTTTTTCATATATATTTCTAGTTGGAGCTTCCAGATTTTTTAGGAATATGAGGTAGATAGAACAGGCGGCTCAGTGGGGATCGACCGTCTGGAGAATGACGAACCTGAAAGGAAAAAGTTGAAAATCGATAAATTTAGAAAAACAATTAGCTAATCATAATGCACTTCTAGGAGCTAGATATGGAAAATATTAGCCTCACTTAGAGCCAATTAAAAACAATTCCCGAAAAAGTGATGTCTCTCTTTTTTAGTCATCTAAAGCGCAAGTTTCAATATTTCCAAGAAACTTGTGTTTTGGAAAAGTTTCCCAGATTGTTAGAATCTTTGAAAATTACGAACTTTTGAATAACTATGAATTTCTGAATTTCCGAAAATGTATAAATTTCTAAATTTACGAAAATAAGAATTTCTAAGTTTCTGAATTTGTAAATCCCTGAATTTCCAAATTTCCGAAAATTTTGAAATTCTAAATTCCGATCTTTCAAAATTTTTGAATTTCTGAATGTCTGAATTTCTGAGATTATAAAATATCTGAATTTCTGAATTTCTGAATTTTTGAATTTCTGAATATCTGAATTTCTGAATTTCCGAATTTCTGAATTCCTGAATTTCTGAATTTCTGAATTTCTGGTTTTCTGAATATCTGAATTTTTGAATTTTTGAATTTCTGAATTTCTGAATTTCTGAATTTCTGAATTTCTGAATTTCTGAATTTCTGAATTTCTGAATTTCTGAATTTCTGAATTTCTGAATTTCTGAATTTCTGGTTTTCTGAATATCTGAATTTTTGAATTTTTGAATTTCTGAATTTCTGAATTTCTGAATTTCTGAATTTCTGAATTTCTGAATTTCTGAATTTCTGAATTTCTGAATTTCTGAATTTCTGAATTTCCGAATTTCTGAATTCCTGAATTTCTGAATTTCTGAATTTCTGGTTTTCTGAATATCTGAATTTTTGAATTTTTGAATTTTTGAATTTTTGAATTTCTGAATTTTTGAATTTCTGAATTTCTGAATTTCTGAATTTCTGAATTTCTGAATTTCTGAATTTCTGAATTTCCGAATTTCTGAATTCCTGAATTTCTGAATTTCTGAATTTCTGGTTTTCTGAATATCTGAATTTTTGAATATCTGAATTTTTGAATTTTTGAATATCTGAATTTTTGAATTTCTGAATTTCTGAATTTCTGAATTTTTGAATTTCTGAATTTCTGAATTTCTGAATTTCTGAATTAATTTCTGAAAATGTTTGAATTTTCAGACAAGAAAAAAAAAAGAAAAAATCATTAGGAAAATTCAAATTTCCGATTCAAGCATCTTTTTTTAAAAAGGTGTGCTTTCTAAATACAACATTTCTTTATCCATAAGTCTCTGGTCTGCCCATCACAAATGTGTCTTCTGTTTTTACTTTTCATTCATCACTTTTTTGTCGTCTCTCTATTTCTCTGCTAGTGCCATCCCCATGTCTTGTAAGAGTGCTTCAATGTAGGTTCCATGAATAAATGGGAATCATTTCAGAAGGTCAGCTTTTTTCTTTTCCTTCTTTTTTTGATGGGTGAACGCCATGTTACAACTTTGTCATAAAAAGGGAATGATGTAAGGGATCGTACACAATTTTTGGTGAAAATTAACCTCAAAAATGAAATGCTCCATTTTCCTGTTTTCTAGACTTCTCAGTGAGTCATGCATTTATATTTTATTATGAAAAATTTAAAAAAAATTGATTTCAAAAGTTTCAGAAGACACTCTGATGACATTACTCGTTTTTCATTTCATCTTTTCATTTTTTTTTTGAGTTACTTAGACTTTTCTTTCGCACTGATTAGTCTGGTCATGATTTTTCTAGACACAAGTGCACGAGACCCAATGAAAACCAAAAAAAAATTTGAATTCATTTCTGCAGTAATTCCTGTAGAAAGTCCGCTCGAAAATTGGTCCCCCTAAAACAACTTAATAATTTTTTAGGTCAGTTGGAATATTGTTTTTCTAGACAGCAATTATTTTTGTGGGTGGTTCTTTTTTTTTGAGAAAATTTTTTAAAAAATTGAGATATTCTAGAAAAATTTTTAAAAAAAACCTTAAAAATGAAACTGGAAACAAAATTGGGTTCCAGATTTCCATTTCGTTTTCTCTTAAATCCATGTTTTGAAATAATTTTATATTTATTTGTCTACAATTATACCGTAATTGCTCTGAGTTAGCATGAACGATTTTTTATCTTTTAGATTTTCAAGATTACTGTAGCTTCAAAAATACAGGTTTTTCATCAAATTTTCTGGTAGAGGCCCACCTTATCGGGGCACTTTCAGCTTGATTATCTCGGTTCCTATGAAAGATATGAAAAATCTGTCAATGATAAAATGTTGGTAATTTTAAAGAAAATATTTTATCATTCACGGTCTCCCCAGCTCCCAAAATGAACTGCAAGCCTTTTTCTTAACGGAGCGCGGTTGCGCGCGGCGAAAATTTTTTTTTGAAAAATGTTGCACTGAAAAACCTGTTTTCAGCGAAATTTTCTCATTTTTCGACAATTTTTTTCATTTTTCGTCCATAATAGTTGTTTTACAGGCTAAAACACACATTTTAAGTACAAAAGCAGTTAGTTCCGACAAAAAACACTCAAAAATAGATTTTTCACAATATTTTAACAAACGAATTTCCTAAAACACCGAAAAATTTGAGAAATGTTTGGTTTTCTAAAAATGCTTGAAAATCGATCTCCTCTTTCATTTTTTGTCGGAACTAGCTGCTTTTGTACTTAAAATGTGTGTTTTAACCTTCAAAACAATTATTATGGACGAAAAATTGAAAAAAAATTGTCGAAAAATGAGAAAATTTCGCCGAATAGCGGTTTTTCAATGCAAAGTTTTTCAAAAAATTTTTTTCGCCGCGCGCAACCACGCTCCGCTCAGAAAAAGGGTTGCAGTTCATTTTGGGAGACCGTGTCATTAGCAAATTTTTGATATCTTTTGAAAAAATCGAGATAATTGAGCTCAAATTGAAAGTATAGGGTGACATTCTATCAGAGAATTTTGGTACATTGATTTTATGTGAACCTGTATTTTTTATGCTACAGTAATCTTGAAAAGGAAAATTGAAAGAAATTGTTTTAGTCAAAGTTATAAGTAAAATTTTGAATTGTTAAAAAAAAAAAGTAAAATAAAAATGTTTTATGGTTTCTAGAGACCCAAATTTCTGCGATTTTCAAAGCTTATTCAAAACTTTAACGGCATCTGAATCAAAATCCACCGCAACGTAAGTAAAAAACTAGGTCAAAGAGCAAAAATGTTAGCAAAAAACCCTCTCAAGTGGACAAAAGCACACAAAATCCCCATTGGCACAAGTTGAGTACTGTGAAACAATCTATCTTTTTTCTTATCTCTCATTCTCCCTCATCAAATAGAACTTTTGCTCCACTGACGTTTTGCTACTAGAGCTCCTTTTCTGAAACTTTCCGACAAGTTTCGTCTCCTGGCATAAAAAACCAAAATTTATGGTCTCCTTCTCTTTTCGGGGGGGGGGGGGGGGGAAACTTCAGCCAAAAGCCATAACCCGTGGTTTTCAAATCCACCGGCATCTCTTCTTCACAAATCACTTCTGTATCCGTTTTCCTTTTTTTTTTTGCGAATGCCACGTTTAAGGATGTGCCGAAGAAATGGGCGGCAATTTCTTTTACACTTTTCTTCTCATCCCCCCTTTTCCACCCATTTTCCTTTCGCAGTCCCTTTCTTTTCTTTCTTCACACTGCCAAAAAAAATAAGCTTCTGGTCTTTGGACTCAAAAGCACAGTATCTAATTTTTCCCAGGAGTTCAGGATGTCACTTCCATGATGATTTGACCTAGATTCTTCATTTTCCTTTTCTGTCTTTTCGTGTTACGTTCGAATTATGTACATCTCTTTCTTGAATCATCTTAAACTAATCCATTTGAACAGCGAACCCCTCGTGCTCCTCAGCTACGACACTGTCATTCTACTCCACAAACGTTGAAGGCTTCTAAAAATGCCGAAATCGAAACGATCTGGATTCTTAAAACGCGTTGCTAAGAAGGTGTCAGGTAGGTCTATACTTCTCTATAAAAGGTTTTATAACGAGATATTTAAAAAAAGGGAAAAAATTAGGGAAACATCATCTTAATTTTTTTCTATTTTTTTCTACAGCGTTTTTTTTTCGTTCCGGGGAAATAGGATTAATTAAATTGTGTATAATTAATTGAATTATGTTCGGCAGAGTTTTTTCCCAGATTTAGGGATAGAGAGCACAAATCCATTGGGCCCACCACCAAGTAATTTATTATACCCACTCTCCCAATTTCCTTTTTTCCTCTTGTGCTTACATCCCCAACTGTTCGTTCATAGTTCAATGCGCATCTCTTATTCTTGTTCTTAGGGGGGGGGGGGGGGGGGGACTAGATTTATTAGGGCTCCAAACACAGCCTCATTTGTTTTTATATACAATGAATAAGGCGAAAAAACGTCTTCATGAAATGAATGATTTTGGGTAAGAAGGGTAGAGAAGAAACCGAACTGTTCTTTTTTTCAACCCACTTAACACACATTTTTGGGCGCTGGCTCCATTTTTTTTTTGGCTCATTCTTTCTTCCTAGTCGGATTCTTCTTTATCTTCTAGTCTCATCATCCTTCTTTATACCGGAACCCCACTGTTTCCGAATGACGATTGGAGAGAAATGGAGAGAAATAGAGAGAAACAGAAAATTGTCTGACTTAAGGGCAATGCTCACCACTAAGACACATATACATACAGACCCAAAAATGGCTCTCACTTTTTCCACTCGAAACCGACGGCCTCGCTCATCGGTCCGTTCCGTTTCTCGTCGTCGTGGTATGGGTGGCAATTTCGGAAGAGTCGCATGTTGACACAAGTGCTCGGGCCCTGAAAAGTACTTCTTTGGTTTTTTCGGTCCTCACTTCTGGTCCCATTTTAGAAGAACCCAAAAGGATGAAGTATTTAACCAACCACCCTCTTCGCTGATTTCTTGTTGACGCTGTTTCGACAATTTGCTCGAGACACGACTCAAATTGTCGAATGCTCGTTTTCCGCGATCGGAGGAGGAGGATTTCTGAAATCAGGTGGATGATTGACATGACACAAAATCAGAACGATGTGGGCGAACCCTGGGAAATTGGAAATCAAAATGGAAATTTGAAAATCTCGTCATTTTTTTTGGAAATTTGAATAGGTAGCATTTTCGCAGAGGAGAAGGACGACATGTAAATTAGATGGACGACTTACATATGGTGTCAGTTTGTCTTTCACACTGCTATCGTAGTCCGTGACGGTGAGCTTGTCTTGGAGCTCTGAAAATATCTAATCTAGCTTACGTAATATACTAGTAAACCAGCATTAGAAGGGCCCCTCTAATAGAAGGGCGCTTGTAATAGAAGAACCCTCCAAGAAGTCCAAGTTAAAGAAGCGGCTCTAATGCAGGTTTGACGGTAGATGAAGATAATTGGTCCATAGTAGCCTTCAAGCTACCGTAATCCTACATTCCTTATTTCATTGGAAGTTTTGCAAATTTAGAAAAAACTTCACCTAACCGACGAATTAGTCATATTTTTAAAAAGTTGCTTGAAACTCTACAGTTAGTTTTCTTTGAGCTACAGTAATCCACACTATACTGGTTTTCAACTAACTAAGATATGTTCTACGTGCTCTGTGAGCCCAATCATCACGGTTCCCGAGCTCATGAAGTAGAACCAGATACGATGAGCTCCCATTAGAGAAAATACGGTAGGTGGGCTAAAACTGTAGTACATGAATTACTGTGAGCCTTCATTATATATTTGATTGGAAATTTTGCAATTCAAACCGGTCAAATTCTAGAAAAGTTGCTTGAAACTATGCAGTTTGAGTCGATATCATTATTTTGAACAAAAAACTTTTTTCGGGGTTACGGTATGTCATCGCGCCAAGGAGGGGGCGTGGTCAATGGGTATCATGGTCAAAAGTCTTAGAGTAGCCCCTATACCCACCGCATACAATATCAGACTCCTAAGACGATTTTGATTTTTTCAATTGCCATGGTGTTTTAGGGTTTTTCAGAAATTGTGTCTTAAACATTTAGAGCTACAGTAGTCTCCAAGAATTTTGAATTTCAAAAAACTATGTGTAATTTTATAATTTTTGCACTCTCCTCAAATTTCTTGAAAACAGAAATTAAGAATTCTTTCTCTAAATTTTCTAGTTTCTAAAAAATTACAGTAACCCTGGAAAAAATCAGATGATGTAGCTATTATGAGCAATGCTTCTTTTGTCCATACTCAATCCTCTTTCCCCTCTTTCCAAAAAAAAATCCAAACTGATGTCATTGAAACTCTTAACATGGAAAATGGGAGAAAAATGTCCGAAGACATTCTAACCGCCTCCTTTTCATCCAACCATCTAGCGCGGCGCACAAAAAAACTGCATTACACATTCTGAAACATTGTCAAATGTCAAACGAGCCTCTTATTTTATCTTTAGACTAGAGTTTCTGTTTTGGAGGTCACTGGATATTTCTGTTCTCTGTTTTCTGATACCTTTGTTCAGGTTTAGCTTAACTTCTGCACTTCGACTCTGCCTAGTACTATCCACTCGCGGTTTTTCGGCACTGAAATTTTATTTGATCACTGGGTACATAAAAAACTAGACAACCTAACCTGTAGATCCGATAGAAAAACTCATCCCAAGGGTCGCCAGTGGATTTTTCTTGTCGTTGGTGGATAATGGTCTGTTTTACGGCATACTGTAATCATAACATTTTTCGGGGTTTTCTGTCAAAACGCTCACTTTGAAAACTTGAGAGAGATAAATCGCTTTGGTTTTATGAGTGGGCAGAAGAGTAAGATTGGTTGACGGGTCGTTGGGTAACGGTGCAACTGGTCCTTAAAAATGTATTTGAGATCAAAAACCAATTTTAAGAATTTTCAAATTCTATATTTTTCAATCATTGTCTTCATTAGCTCAAATATACTTTCAGCACTTTTAATCAACTTCTAATCTGGACTCTTGGGTTTTCTTCTTTTTTCGCAAAGAGCCAGTTTTATAAATGCACTTTATAATGTTCATACAGTGCGTGTAATAAGGATAGGACCGCCCTTGATTTTGACTTTTCAGAAAAAAGTAAGAGAGATATCAAAATTCTGTGAATGCCATTCGATTCAAAATAAAAAACAACCCCAGAAGCCAAATTTTCATAACTCTAGCACTTTCCGTACCGGTTCACCGTCCAAAAGTCATTTTTTAGGCCGTGTAATAAGGATAGGACCACCTAGCATTTTTGAAGCGATACCCATTGTTTCGATTTTTTTTCTTTTTGTATCACATTTATTTGTACTGGGTTTATTGTTTTTCATATTTTTATTTCTCAATCCACCTTATTTATCAAAAGTTCGGTCATTTTTTTGGATAAACAAGAACACTTCTTAACAAAATTCAAGTTTATTAACAAAACTGGAAAATTCAGCGAAAAAAAGACATAAACGAAGAGAAAAAATTAATAACTTGTTTCTCCTCCATTCTTCTGGACGACTTCGAACAATCTGTTGGGCATACTGGCCACGAGAGCTCTCAACTCCGCCGCTGTGAAAGCGTTCCACTCGGCTTGCAGGATGTCCTTGAGCTGTTGAACCGTGTTGAACTGTCTTCCGTGCTTGTAAACGCGTCGAACCAGCAGTCCCCATAAATTTTCAATTGGATTGAGGTCTGGGCTGACTGCTGGCCACTCGAAATCCGTGATTTTTTGTGCCTTCAACCAATCCCATGTGGAAGTGCTCTTATGAATCGAGGCGTTGTCTTGTTGAAAGACGTGTGTTCGACGTTTGTCTCAGAAAAAGGGTACGATGGGCTTTTGGAGCGTGTTTTGGTACGTAACGGAGGTCTCTTTTGTTGTGATGAACTGTAACTTCATCTTTCGTCCGTTGCAGAATCCTCCCCACACCATCAAGGATCCGCCTCCAAAGTTCCTTCGAGGAAGAGTAGAGGGTCCTTTCGGAGGTCTCTCCAGTAACTTCTATTGCCGTCCGGGCCGTGTAAGTTCCACTTTTATTTGCCGTCCGGGCCGTCTAAGTTCCACTTTACGGTTCAACAGCTCAAGGACATCCTGCAAGCCGAGTGGAACGCTTTCACAGCGGCGGAGTTGAGAGCTCTCGTGGCCAGTATGCCCAACAGATTGTTCGAAGTCGTCCAGAAGAATGGAGGAGAAACAAGTTATTAATTTTTTCTCTTCGTTTATGTCTTTTTTTCGCTGAATTTTCCAGTTTTGTTAATAAACTTGAATTTTGTTAAGAAGTGTTCTTGTTTATCCAAAAAAATGACCGAACTTTTGATAAATAAGGTGGATTGAGAAATGAAACTATGAAAAACTATAAACCCAGTACAAATAAATGTGATACAAAAAGAAAAAAAAATCGAAAAATGGGTATCGCTTCAAAAATGCTAGGTGGTCCTATCCTTATTACACGGCCTAAAAAATGACTTTTGGATGGTGAACCGGTACGGAAAGTGCTAGAGTTATGAAAATTTGGCTTCTGGGGTTGTTTTTTATTTTGAATCGAATGGCATTCACAGAATTTTGATATCTCTCTTACTTTTTTCTGAAAAGTCAAAATCAAGGGGGTCCTATCCTTATTACACGCACTGTATAACCTTTTTAGTCATCCATATCTTAGAAAAAATCTTCCAAAAAAATCCGAGAAAAGTGCCTCTCATTAATTTGAATTTGGGTGAAGGGGTCACTCTTGTTTAGGAGATGTGGACCAAAAGATGGATTTATTTTTCTGGGGTAGGGTAGCTTCTTCTGGACCAGATGGATTATTCCTCAACAACCATTAGTCAAACTGGGAGGACCAAGGTTCCTTGCTAGATTTCAATCTTACTTTTTTTTGGGGGGGGGGGGGGGGGGCGGAGTCCGTCACATCTTTATTTTTTGTGTTGAGAATATAAGAATATAATATTGATATTTCAATAAACTTCTGATTTCCTAGCCAAAAGTGCCTTCTGAAAGTGCCCCAGAATCCCAAAATGAGAATTCTAGTTGTTCAGAATCTCATTTTTTTGAAAGCATTATATCCAATTATTTAAGCTCTGATTTTTTTCTTTTCAATTTCTCTTGAAATTTATTATTCTTTGGGCTGGCTGATTTCCAATTTTCCGAGATTCTAGAACATTCCCCAAAAGCTCCGCCCACTTTGAATAGGCTTGTTAGTCATCACACATCAGTCAGCCTTTCTGTTTTTTGTGCTTCTTCGGGAAATTCGAAATCCTCAAATTTTTTGCTGGGAACTTGATTAATTTTTTTGGGATACGGTAGTTTGTTCGAGTAGATCCTGAAGAAGGATTATCTCTTAACAACGATTAGTCAAAAAATGAGGACCACGGTTCCTTTGTTAGATTTCAATCTTGTTTTAGATTTTGGGGCGGAGTCAGCAAAATCTTTATTGTTACGGTTCGTTTCAATAAGCTTATGATATCCTTGTCAAAATTTTCCGCCAATATCTGTTTGCTTGCTGATTTCGAAATTGTCGAGGTTTTGGAACATTCCTCCAAAACCCCGCCCATTTTGAATATGCCTGTTAGTCATCACGCATCAATCAGCATTCTTGTTGCCAAGTGATTTCTCCACAAATTTGAAAACCCTCAATTTCTGTGTTTCTCACATAAACCAGAAGCTGATTCAATGTTTTATATAGAAAAATTAGTAGAGGATTTCTTATTTCAGTAGTAAAGGACTGAAAACGTATTTTCTCTCCCCCCCCCCTCTCACATAAGCATGAGTCATATCAATCGATAAAAACAGTAAACATTCTTTTTCCCCAATTTCTTTGACCAATTCTTCAAAACTGACCGGAAATTCAAAACATCCACATTTCAGTAATGTCCGGACTCGACAAGGTCTTCAAGTCCTCCTCAGCTCCAGGAATCTCGACTAGCGTCACCAAGTCTTCAATCGCGACCAAGTCATCGGTCCTCACCAAGTCGGTGTCGGTCGCCACGACCACCACGAGCTCTGTGAGCCCAAGCTGCGAATATGTGAGTTTGATTTTAAAAAAAGAAGTATATCCTATTCTCATTTCCAGGTCTCTCGCCACAAGTATCTTCGTGATCGTCGTCTCATCACTCGCAACGATATTCGTCAGCGCATGAGCGTCTGGAGCCGTTTGTTCGCGTTTTGTCGTGGAGGTATTCAGGATTCATCGCTGCTGGACTGCGAGAGCATCTTCACCGTCCGCCCATAGGCACCAACGAGTCATAACAAATCGCTTCATTCCCGCTTTTTCCGTTTCCCCAATTTTCATTTGATGATATCCCATCCCGAATTTTTCCCTAAATTGGTAGATCCCCCAATTTCGTTTTCAATTTTGCCAAAACGTCTCTTCCCACAGTTTTCTACCAGAAAACCATTTCCCTAAAAAAAACATGAATCCCAAAAACCTAGTTCTCCTTTTCTCTTTTTTTCACTCTCTTGGTATTATCGCTGCATTGTATCAGAGTCTCGAATCACAACACAATTAGCGAATATATGAAGATTCAATTGAAATTTCAAGCTTTTGAGAGAAAAAAAAACGAAAACTCACCCTCGAAATCATCCCCAGCTGGTTCGGTCATCACTTTTAAAACAGCTGTTCGGAACATATTCATTAGGAAGGTCTTTCTGAAAAAAAAAGATAATTTGAGGAAATGTAATACAAGGATGTGTGGAATTAATTTTTTAGTAATTTTCAAAATTTCAAAATTTCCAACTTTCTGAAAATTCCTATATATCTCAATTTTTCGGAATTTTAAAGAGTTTTATTTCCGCACTACTATGATTATGACTACTCACTTTTTTAAAGAATTCTCATCGAGAACTTTCCCATTTTCCAAAATACTTGCTGTTTCCGCATCAAGACGAGATTGCATATTTTGGGACACCTAAAAAGACTAGCAGTTCGTAAAAAAACCAAGAAACAGAAGATCTACCTCCTCCAATGAATTCCTTCTCATTGTTTCCACAGATACGTCATAAGAACAAGCCTTAGTCAAGTCAGATTCAGATAACCATCTTGTTAACTGTGGTTTCCAGTTTGGTTTCTAAAAAAATTTAATTTAAAATCAAAATGCCTCAACCACATACCTTATTCGAACGCTCACTAAAACATTCAGAATTTCTCCGCGTTTCTACATCCGAATCTTCAATTTTCGACAAATTGAGTAGAGAATTGGGAAATTCCATGTAAGGAGATAGTCGTGAAATGAAAAACCAGTGCGCTTCAGGTGGTTTATATAATCCGCAATTTCCGGTAAAAACGCGCATGACTCGAAATGAAGTATGACTTCCGGTGTGTGTTATAAGTGCTCTCTAAATTTAGAAACTTTGGAAAACTATTCTGGATAAACTGAAAAATATTAACAAAAATCTCAACAAGTTCTGCCCAGGTTATTTTTGGTTCCTATGGTAGGTTATGACATACTGGCTTGAACAAAACTTCCAATATTAGAGACAAAAGCTTGTGTTATCCAAATATTCTTAAAGGAGGCGAGACAACAAAAATTTCGGGGGACAGTTCGGGGGACGAAATCGCGCCGCGCTTATGTAGAACATTGGTCGTCAAGCACCACCGCGCCCCCATAGCTCAGCCTGTAGCGGCGCTGTGCCCCTGAGCTTCCTGGCATGAGTTCAACCCCTCATGGGGGCTCTCTATGCAAAATATCAGGAACACTTTTTTTTGGTGTCTGGCCTCCTTTAACTAAGTAATATCACTGTTAACAATTGACACAGATATTTCTAATACCATGATTTTCTAGATTGACATTTGACCAATTCCATGTTTTCTGGTGATCAATTCTCCTATTTTTGCAGGTTTGACGCATTCAGATTATTCTCTGCCGGTTCCCTTCGCTCTCATGTATGAATACTACTATACTTTCTCCTCCACTTTTGCAAAACGAGCCGATCGGTGTGTAATTGCTCCAACAATCAAATTCCAATGTTCAATGGGACATTGTAATTGATTTTTAGTTCAAAAAACCCACGCCAGTTGCCTCTTCCACTCGGAAACCTAGGTGTATCACCGAGGAGCACTAGATGGAGGACAAGTCTCGTTCGCAAAAAAAAAAGTTTGAGAGGAGAAAAAACAGATTGGATGATAGGAAGATCTATTAGATGTGATTCCGGAGATTTGTGAGGATACGCGGAAAAGTCAGGACCAGGCGCCGATGATTTGTGTTCCAGTCGGGAGAGTAATGGAAAAATGGGGTCAGGTGATAGAGTTGAGGGCACTGAGAGAAGGTTTCAAAGGAGAAGAGAAATGGGGAAAATGATAGGACTGGTGGAGAGTTCACGAAAAAAAGGGGGGGGATAAGATTTTTGTAGGAAAGGTGAATGTTGGGACAAAGAAGTTAGAGGTACAGCTGGAAAAAAGCACATATAATGATATCCATATAAAACATGCGCCTTTAAAGTATTGTAAATGAACATTTTTGCCATTCACCTCATGTTTGTTTTCGATGTTTTTTTTTTGCAGTTTTGATAGAGGAACAGACTATTAAAATAGTCGAATACTAGGCAAAATTTATTTAAAAACGTTTGAAAGCAAATAAAATTAAATGTTTATTGGTTTTTTCTAGCATTGAACCTTTAATTGTCAGGATGGGTGTCAATTTGCAGGATGGGTGTCAATTTGCGGGAATGGGTGTCAATTTGCGGGAATGGTACATTTCGAATTTCAGAAGAATGAATGATAATGAAAAGGTTACTGTAAAGGTTGTTGTACGGGCGGCCGTGGCTGGCAAAGGTAGGATGTCTGTTTCGACAGAGTTGACTACTGTAAATAACGAAATCTGAGAATTGTAGACGAAATGGGTAACAGCGAAGTTGTATTATTTACAATTTCCAACCCAATTTCCCGATGAAAATTTCAAAAAATAATTGCCTGAGAAATAGAAGGGCCCCTCTAATTATAAGGCAACTGTAATAGAAGGTCCCTCCGTAGTTACCTGGGATCAATAGAAGGATCGGCCCTTCTGATACAAGTTTTACGGACAATATTGTTTTCAGAGTAAGTGAAACACATATCCAGACATTCTGAAAAACTCGAGTAAGTGCCCAGGATGTTCAGATCAAGTTCTGAGTCTTACATTTAGAAATTCCTCCAAACTGTCACAGTTCAGACTACCGTAGCTCTCCACATCGGATCTGTGAGACATTTTCTCTAAAACCCATCAATTCCTTCAAGTTCTTTACTTCAAATATTTGTAAAAGCTCTAGAACAATCCTGAGAAATCCAATAAATCCTGCGGGGCTAATTGACGCGAACTGCCGAAATGATGATTGTCGGTAAGTGGTCGTAAATGCTCTTGTGAAGCTTTTCGAACTAACGACGAAACGGTCGGATGTGTTGCTTCCGCTTCTTCTTCTTATTCTTCTTCAACTTCCCTCCCCCCCCCCCCACCTTCTCAAGTTTCCCCTTCTCCTCCACTTTCATATCTAACTTTTCATCCCGGGTAATTTTATCTTTATCCCGATGAGGATGACCAGTATCAGATTTGTTGCTGTTTACTTTGAAATGTTTTTCATTTTCAAAAATGCTTCCTGATCAGAACCGTAAACAAAAAACCCATCTGTAGCTCGGTACCAGGCACTATTCACATTAGTGCTCTCTAATTTTATGAGATAAAATTTCGTAAATCCCATTTTGAGGGTCATCACCGATCATGGGTTACAGCTGGCTCGTACTGGTACTTTCCCTCTTTTCACTCTCGTTTTTTATCTGCTTTATTCAACCAGCTGTGGACTTTGTTCTTTCTCGCTCTACCGAGAAAGTTCTTAGCTCCATTCATCATTTCTCTTTTGTAGAAAATGTAGTTCACACTATCCCAATGCTCCTACAAATTTTTCCTCTATCATCAAGTACTTTTTTCCCGAAACGAAGACGTAGTCCAATGAATCATCCAAGGGAGGGGAGCCCGCCACGACACAACAGCAAAAAGTAGATTTATATCCGAGAGCGAGAAAAGTGTGAAAGGGATGGGTGAGGGAATGGTAATTAATGAGTTCGGTTTTCTTCTCTTATCTCTCTTTCAATTTGCAACTCCTGTCTCTCTCTCTCTCTCGAGCTTGTTATCATCTGATATCTCTTCGAATCAAACGCTTCCTGGCCTCGCTTTCAAATTTTTTGCTTTCCACTCTCATTGCTCCACACGCAGACAGGGCGCCCTTCGATTAGCCACACCTCCTCCACGGGCATACAAAGCACAACCCTCGGCCCCGCCCACTTTTTTTCGTGTAGACATTCGCGAGACTTCAGTTACATTTGAACGTTTCCAACTTCCCCTCATTTTTTCCTCTTGACTTTTCCCTTTCATCTGGTACTGTAATTCGGAATTCAGATCGCCATCAAAACTTATCCAAACAAAAGACATCACTGGAAAATCAGCCACAATGGGACGGAGTCCTTGCTGGCTCTTATGGGTCATAGGCCTGCTGCTTATGACCAAACTATGCTTATCCAACACTGATGACAAAAACGACCCGACTGGAAAATCCTCACTTGCCTTTGTCTTCGATATCACTGGATCAATGTTCGATGATTTGGTACAGGTCCGGGAAGGAGCCGCAAAGATTTTTAAAACCGTGATGGCCCAAAGAGAGAAGCTGATCTACAACTACATTATGGTTCCGTTCCACGATCCATGTGAGTAGCTTTTCACTACTTCTTTTTGGGGGTTGTTTTTTTCAGTATTGGGGTCTTGTTTGTTTCTATGGATCCACCATCGAAAAAAATAAGAAAATTTTACACATCCTCTCATGTGATTCATGGGATGTCATTAATCTTGCACCTCCCGTATCATTTTGAAACGTGTGGGGGGATATCGAAATCACATTGAGTTTTGATATTGGAAAATTTTTTTTAGGGGACAAAAAATGAGGAATTAGAGATGAGGAACAGTAGAGACACAAAAACCCATCAATTCTCCTTGGTTGAAATATTGGCCCGGGTCTCAGAACAACTGTGCACGGGCAGTTTATCAGCTAGTTAAATAAAAAAAAGGTGACACCTCCGATGTTACAACAAGCCAAGAGGAGCAGCGCCCTGATCGGAGTTTGACCCCGATGGCTTTATAACACCACAGCAAGATTTATGGGGGCTCGAGGAACATCTAGAAAAAGTGATGGCGGAAAACCTACAGTACTGGTTAATGAGACATAGAAAAATGTATTTTTCAGTTGATTAATGGCCATTTTGGCCATTTTTAGAATCCTGGAATTCGGTTGTCAAGTTTTCTATAACTTTTTACTTACAGAATTTTAAATGCTTAGTTTTTCAGTTGTTCACCGATATCTGAAAAACACCAATTTTTTCTAGTTTTTAGTATAATAACAGGCAGAAAGGTTGTCCTTCAGAAATGGGCAAATAGCTGAAAAACTAGGAATTTTCGAAAAATTCTGTAAACGCCAAATGTTCAATTTAGGTCTGTTTCATAACCTCCAAAATTTTCAAAATGATCGGACACTTGACAGCCGAGCTACAGACTTCTAAAAATGGTCAAAATAGCCGAAAATTCTCTGAAAAAAAAAATACATTTTTGTATATCTTACTGTTGGTGAACATTTGTTATATGAACATTTTTTAGATTTGGGAGAGATCATCAACACAACCGACTCGACGTACTTCATGCGACAGCTCAGCAAAGTCTACGTGCATGGAGGAGGAGATTGTCCGGAGAAGACGTTAACGGGTAGGCCACTTTCTTCCTCGGTTCCTGTTGTTTTCTTAGAAGATCCTTTCTTAAATGTTACCAAAAGTGTGAAAACTGGCGCGTTTCGCGCAATTGCTTCCTCTCCGAATATGTAAACGCTGACGCAATGGGCCACGACACTAGCCTGTCCGCCCTTACAAACGGTTTCTTTCTTAGAAAAATAGATGGTGTTGAGTCAGCGGGATTGGAGTGAGGCAAGTGAATGGAAAGTGTTAATTGCTAGTTGAGCATACTTTTTTTAAAAGAGAAGCTATTTTTCATTGGATCCCGGAAAAGGAGAGAGAAAAAAGTACTAGTATGTGTTGAAGGAGAAGGTGTCACAGTGCAACAGGGGGTCAATTTTCGTTCTTAGCACGGAAGATGCTCATTTGAGGAGAGCTCCAAGTTCTACAAGCTCCAGGTCCCATCCATTGCCTACACTTTGAGCTCAATTATCTAGGTTCCTTCGAACAATATGAAAATTTGGTCAACTGGTAAATTGTTCATCATAAAATTAACAATATTTTATTCGATGGCAAATTTTTCATATCGTTCACAGAAATTGAATGAAGCTCGAAGTTATTGGCTTGGGTGGGCTTTTATCAGAGAAAATACGGTAATTCTTTATCTGGATTTTGTATCAACTTTCAACTTTCAAAATCTGAACAAACTTTTGAACATCTGAACAAGGGAACATCTAAGTTTTAATTTGACGTATTTTCGGCCACTATTATTTTTCGTTTCAACATTCTGCACCTCATCTTCTTCATGTGGTTCCAATTCTTGATTTTCATTCACTTTTCCCAAATCTCAATTTTACCCCAAATCCTGCCACCACCACCTCCACACAAAATCAAAACCACATGGCAAATCTTTCTCTAATTCATGTTTTGAACTCGCGAACTCCTAGACCACACTTTTCTCACAAGCTTCCTACTTTCTGTACTATTTTCACTCTCGCATCTTCACATATTGTAGTTATTACTGATGGAAGACGGAAATGAATCCGTCCGGAATCCCCCCGCCTCATTGAAATATGACACCATGAACAGTCACAGATGTAACCGATCGTTTCGAATTCGATTTGCCACACAACTTTGTAACTATTTCGAAACTCGAGATTATAGGTTCCACAAGAAGAAAACGAATAAATAACATTGGCAGAAAAGAGGGGGGAACGTTTTCTTTGTAGGAAGAAAACAGCATGGTTGTAAATCCTTTTTCCTTCTCTGCAGCCTTCGTCAGCAACAATAATATTTGCTAATTTTACAACTGTTTCTCTTGGTATTAGTTGCGCAATACCCTTTTTAAGAATTCCTACAAGACTAGGGCAGAAAAAAAAATTTAAATTATTTTCTAGGAATCTTGAAAGCTCTTCAAATCTCTCTACCATCCTCGTTCATCTATGTGTTTACTGACGCTCGCTCCAAGGATTACCATTTGGAAGATGAAGTTCTCAACACAATTCAAGAAAAACAAAGTTCCGTGGTTTTTGTGATGACTGGTGACTGTGGAAATCGCACGCACCCCGGATTCAGAACATATGAGAAAATTGCCGCTGCATCATTTGGACAGGTGTTCCACTTAGAGAAGAGTGACGTCAGCACGGTTTTGGAATACGTGAGACATGCAGTGAAACAGAAAAAAGTTCATTTGATGTACGAGGCACGTGAAAGAGGAGGAATCGTTTCGAGAAAAATCCCAGTTGACAAGCACCTATCGGAACTCACTATCTCACTTTCTGGGGATAAGGACGACTCGGATAATTTGGATATTGTATTGAAGGATCCAGAAGGAAGAACTGTTGATAAGAGACAATACAGTAAAGAAGGAGGAACAATTGACTTGAAAAATGTGAAGCTGATTCGTCTGAAGGACCCAACTCCAGGAGTGTGGACAGTGACCACTAACTCGAGACTGAAACATACAATTCGTGTGTTTGGACACGGCGCTGTGGACTTTAAATATGGATTCGCTTCTCGCCCGTTAGATCGTATTGAATTGGTTCGTATTTATTATCAGAATTGGACAAAAAAAAATCATCTTTTGAGTTTCTACAAAGGAATATACCGTTCCTCAAATAGAATCTGAATGCGTCAGCTTTGAGCTCAATTATCTTGATTCTGGTGAGAGATATGAAAGTGTTGTCAACTGATAAAATATTGGCGATATTGTGACAAATAATTTATCAGTTGACAAACATGTGATATCTTTCACAAAAATCGAGATAAATGAGCTCAAAGTTTACGGTTTGGGACTTTTATTAGAGAAAAATAGGATAACAATTTAGAATTTCTAAAAAAAGTAGTCAAAAATATTCTTTAAAAAAAATTTCGGTCCATCACTGTATACTTACCGGCAAAAACAAAATTTCAACTTGTTACCACATTTCCAAGTCAAAAGGACTTCTAAAATTATCAAAGATTCTGAATAATGCGTTTTTTCGCGATTTCTAATGATTTTGAAAAAAGTCGAAATGACACTTTTTAAGCAATTTCCAAAAAAAATCTTGGCCATACAGACCTGTTTACTCAAAATTTTCCATTCAGGCTCGTCCAAGACCAATCTTAAACCAAAACTCGTATCTCCTAGTGAACATGACCGGACTTCTACCACCAGGAACAGTCGGAGAGATCGATCTTGTTGACTATCATGGTAATTTCCCTCATCTTCCCCCGAACCCCCAATTCCTCATCATTCCAGGACACTCATTGTACAAATCCACGGCTTCTCCTCACCGAACAAACCCACATATCTACTTTGCTGGTCCGTTCATTCCACCAAAAGGCTTGTTCTTTGTCCGTGTTCAAGGATACGACGAGGACAACTTTGAATTCCTCCGAATCGCGCCAACTGCCATTGGAAGTGTTGTTGTCGGCGGACCACGTGCTTTCTTGTCTCCAATACATCAGGAATTTGTTGGTAGAGATCTCAATCTGTCGTGCACTGTTGAGAGTGCGTCACCTTACACCATCTATTGGGTCCGGACAGGAGAGGAGATTATTGGAGGACCACTTTTCTATCAGTAAGTTGACGGGCATTGAAAAATTTAGAAAACTTAGATTTTTCGAACTTTTCCTTTATATTATGTATCTAGTAGGAACACAACCAAACGCGCTCATCCGCACACAGCGGGTGGTCCGTCCGCAAACGCGCGTCGTGGTGTTCGCACCTCTTTTGCGCACATGTCGCATTTTTTTGGCGCGAATAATCTTTTTGCCTTTTCCAGCAACACTGACACCTCCGTTTGGACTATCCCTGAACTTTCCTTGAAGGATGCTGGAGAATACGAATGCCGCGTCATCTCCAACAACGGAAACTACAGTGTCAAGACTCGTGTGGAGACGAGAGAATCGCCGCCGCAAATCTATGGAGTCAGAAATGTGTCCGTGCCGATCGGAGAATCCGCATTCTTGCATTGCCCCACAAGATCGGCTGGAGAGGTGGAAATCCGATGGACCAGGTTTGGCTCGACTGTTTTCAATGGACCAAACACTGAGAAGAACCCGATTAATGGAACTTTAAAAATCCATCATGTCACTCGAGCGGATGCTGGAATCTACGAGTGTATGGCTAGAAATGCCGGAGGAATGAGCACCCAAAAAATGCAATTGACGGTGAGTTCAGTAGTTGGCGAACGAATTCTAAAATTAAAATTTCAGATCATGGAGCCGCCTGTAGCCAGAGTTTCTCCAAAGGAAATCTACTACAACATCAGAGACAACGTGAATCTCACTTGCCAGGGACATGGAGATCCCAAACCTGAGCTTCATTGGTATCGCGGAAGACAAAGAATGATGACTGACTACAGAGCATTGCTTGGGCCAGATGCAAGTATGTTCTTTTCTTTAGAAATGTCCGAATTCATTTAAATTCTTGTAGAATATCTCATTCTTCGTGACGCCAATGCCCATGACGAAGGAACCTATGAATGCAAGGCTATGAATCTAGCCGGAGTTGCCAGTGACACTGTCGATGTGATTCTTGCCAGTACTCCCAAAGTTGAAATTATCCAGAACAAGATGATGGTTGGCCGTGGAGATCGGGTTTCGTTCGAGTGCAAGATCATCCGAGGAAAGCCAGTTCCTAAAATCAGATGGTTCAAGAATGGAAAGGATCTTATCAAGACCGACGACTTCATCAAGGTCAACGAGGGACAACTGCATATTATGGGCGCCAAGGATGAGGATGCTGGAGCATACTCTTGTGTTGGAGAGAATATTGCTGGAAAGGATGTTCAGGTGGCGAACCTGTCTGTCGGACGAGTCCCAACCATCATTGAATCACCTCATACTGTTCGTGTGAACATCGAGAGATCTGTAACCCTTCAATGCTTTGCCGTGGGAATTCCAACTCCAGAAATCGAGTGGCAGAAGGGAGGAATTCCAATAATCTCTGAGAAAAACTTAAGATATACTCAACTACCAGATGGAAACTTGCAAATCAACGATGCCCAGATTGAGGATCAAGGACAATTCACTTGTGTCGCTAAGAACACCTACGGACAGCAGTCTCAGACTACAACATTGATGGTCACAGGACTGGTGGCTCCAATTTTGGGACACGTTCCTCCAGAGGAGCAGTTGATTGAGGGACAAGACTTGACACTTTCCTGTGTGGTGGTTCTGGGAACTCCCAAGCCAACAATTACATGGATGAAGGATAATCGACCAGTGCAAGAAAGTGAATCGGTGCAGGTGAGTGATATGAAAACCAAAATCTTCTAAAGTTATTTTAGAAAATCCAATAGAATCATACTTGTAATTCGGGCCTTTGCCGGGCCTTCGCGGGCCCTGTCTTAGTTCCTTTCAGAATCGATGTTTTTTGACCAACTGAATCAGATAGAACTCAACGTGTACTACAAAATGAAATTTGGAGAGTTGTATTCTGTCTATGTCTACAGGACATCAAATGGTTTTGCCCGGACCTAGCTTCTTTAAACAATTCCAGTTACCCAAATACATAAAAACTGTCATACTGTTCTCTAAACAATCAAAAGAAACCCCATAGATCATTTGATAAAGTTGGAATAATGCTTAAAATTTTTCCAGATCATCGGTGGCGGCTCTCTACTTCGTCTTAAAGGCGGAAAAGCCAGTGACGAAGGAAAGTACACGTGTGTCGCCTCCTCCCCAGCCGGAAACAGCACAATCATTGTCAACGTTCAACTCATCAGTAAGTGAAAGCCTCCGCATGATGCATGGGTGAGAAAAAGATACATACACACATACGTTGAATGAGTTCTTCTACTCCTATTCTTTCAACCAGTTGACTTTTCTTATCTACCCAACTTTTTTTCTCATTTTGTCTTTTGATGCATGATGATGTGGCGTTTTTGCGTTCAGAGAAGCCAGAGTTCGTGTACACAATGGAGGGCGGCAACGTCGTCAAACCCGATGTATCTGGATTCGAGCTGAATCAAGTGGCAACTGTGAACAGTACTCATGACGTGCTCGATGGTGGACAATTCGCGATTCCATGCGCTGTGTCCGGTACGCCACCACCAGCGATCACTTGGTATTTGGATGGAAGACGTATTGTGCCGAACAGCAAAGATTTCGCAATTCTGGTAGGATCTAGCCATTCTTAAAGTCCCCTAAATAGCTTACATTTTTAGGCTGACAATACTCTTGTAGTCAAGAAAGCTGACAAATCACACAATGGAGTCTACACCTGTACCGCTGTCAATAGTGCCGGAGAAAATGAGCAAAAGACAACAGTCAGAATCCTTAGCATCCCTGCCATCTCTCCAGGACAAACTTCGTTCAACATGGTGGTCGATGATCAGATTATCATCCCTTGTGATGTGTATGGAGATCCACCACCAAAGATCACTTGGCTTTTGGATGGCAAACCATTCGAGGATGGAGTTGTCAATGAGGATGGGTCTCTTACCATTGAAAGAGTCAAAGAAGAGCATCGAGGAACTTTCACTTGTCATGCTCAAAATGCCGCTGGAAATGATACCCGCGAAGTAACCCTGACCATTCACACAACACCAACTATCAGTGCAGAGGTACGAATTTTGCCTTGGTTTAATATTTAGGGCCCAGTAGCTCGCAGAGCTCCACAGAGTTTTTCGGAGCTTTGCGGAAAACTCACTAGTTCGAATAACCAAACACCATTGTTTTTTGTTTCAGAACCAAGAAAAGACCGCGCTTCAAAACGAGACAATCGTTCTGGAATGTCCGGCTCAAGCACTTCCGCCACCTGTCAGAGTTTGGACATATGAAGGAGAGAAGATTGACTCGCAGTTGATTCCAGTATGTTCAATTTTTTCCTAGAACTATTTTTAATCTGTTCTTTTTCAGCACACAATCCGTGAAGATGGTGCACTAGTTCTTCAAAATGTCAAGTTGGAAAACACTGGAGTATTTTCGTGCCAAGTGTCCAATTTGGCTGGAGAAGATTCACTTTCCTACACTCTCACGGTTTATGAGAAGCCGAAAATCATTTCTGAAGTTCCTGGCTTTGTCGATGTCGTTAAAGGATTCACCATTGAGATTCCTTGCCGTGCAACTGGTGTTCCAGAAGTGATCAGAACATGGAATAAGGATGGTATCGAGCTTAATCTTGATGGTGCCAAGTTCTCAGTGGATAACCTTGGAACCCTTCGTATCTATGAAGCTACCAGAGACGATATTGGAAACTACAACTGTGTGGTGCAGAATCAAGCCGGAAAGAGTGAGATGACCACCAATGTAGATGTCCAGGAGCCACCAGTTATCTCTCCCTCCACTCAGATCAACAATACTGCTGTGGTAGGCGACCGTGTAGAACTGAAGTGCTACGTGGAAGCTTCGCCACCAGCTACGGTGACCTGGTCCAGAAGAGGAATTGCAATCGGAACAGATACCAAAGGATACGATGTGGAATCTGATGGAACTTTGGTTATTCACAGCGCCACTGTCGAGGATGCCACTATTTACACTTGTAAGGCGACAAATCCAGCTGGTGTTGCTGAGGCAAATCTGCAAGTCACTGTAATTGCTTCTCCGGATATCAAGGATCAGGATGTGGTGACACAGGAGTCCGTCAAGGAGTCAAATCCATTCTCGTTGTACTGCCCCGTCTTCAGTATTCCTCTTCCACAGGTTAGTTAAGTTTTTGATGGGTTAAAGCTTTTTTTTCAGCGGATTTGTGGCCATTCTGACCGTTTTCTGAAGCACGGCTTTCAAGTTTCCGATAATTTGGAAAATTTGGGAGGGTCTAAAACAAACCTAGTTTGAAAAGTTTGCATTCACCAAATTTTTGAAAAAATGTCTATCTGTTTAAAACGCTCCGAAATTTCCAATGTTATTGAAAACGTGGCAGACGAGCTCCAGATTTCTGAAAAACGTCAGAATAGCTGAAAATCAACTCAAAAATAGGTTTTTATATATCTTGTTGACCAGTACTGTGCCGGCAAATTATTTGAAGGTTACAAAACTATTGGAGTCATTGAGGTACAAAGTAATTCAGGGGTACAAAATCTCCAATTCGGGATACACCCGGAAATTTTAAATTTTGTATCCCCCCAATTGTGGACTTTGTACCCCTCAATTGCTTCATACACCCTGAATTGTTGTATCCTCCGAATTATAATTCTACTGTACTTGCTTGCTAATGTCCACTTTTAGATCTCTTGGTATCTCAACGATAAGCCTCTCATTGATAACGACGCTACCTGGAAGCTCTCGGATGACAAACGCAAACTCCATGTTTTCAAGGTACTGACCTTCTTTGAATAAAAGATTATCCTAAGAAATAATAAAATTTGATTCCAGGCAAAAATCGCTGACTCCGGAGTGTACAAGTGTGTTGCACGAAATGCGGCTGGCGAGGGAAGCAAATCATTCCAGGTGGAGGTTATCGGTGAGAATATTCCCTTTGTTTTTGTCAAAACTGATTACTTTTCATTTCCAGTCCCACTCAGTCTCGATGAATCTCAATACAAGAAGAAGGTATTTGCCAAGGAAGGAGAGGAAGTGACACTTGGATGCCCAGTTTCCGGATATCCAACTCCAAAGGTTGATTGGGTCGTCGATGGAACCTTGTTGAGAGCAGGAGGAGAGTACAAAGGAGCGAGATTGTCAGATGATAGTCTTACGGTGAGAATTATGTTCTAGGAAATCTCAATTTATTTTTCATTCTAGCTGCATTTCGATAGTGTCGGCATCAAAAACGAGGGCAAGTACCATTGTATCGCTCAAAGCAAGGGAAGCACTCTTGACGTGGATGTGGAGCTATCAGTTTTGGGTATATTATCGATTTTTTCAAATTCAGTTTATCATTATCAAAACTCTGTGTACAACGCTTCTCCTCGTAAACGTGTTCTGACTCCGTTCAAACTCTCTAACTCTGAGCCCAAAAAGTTGGCTCCAAGAAAAGGGGCGATAAAGAAACCGGCGAAGTATTATAAACCGCATCAAGTGGCCATACACTTTGATGAGCAGCCCTTTAAACCGTTTATCAATGTTTATTCGTTCCTCTCACCCAGTGCACCTGTGTTAGATAACGGATCCGCGAATCGATTTGCACCTCACGACATCAACATCACTCTCGAAGATGTTATTACAGCACCGCCTCGTTTGCCGGCCAAGTTGTCGAAAAATAAAATGAGAAAGAAGTGGTGGGAGCCGCGCAAGATTGCAATCATTGCTCAGTGATTGTTTTGCCTAGCATGCTATTTTTTCTATAATAACTCTCCCAGAGAGCTGGTCTATAAGACTAATAATCTAGATACACCTTCTTCTATTAGTAATAGAAACAAAACTTTTATGTAATACTACTTTTTGTATCTGCATGATTATTGTGAGTGTGCATGTGTGTTCTAGTACCAGTCTTTTCCTTTGTATAGACCTATTTTCATCACCCTCTCCTCATTTAAACGCCCGATGCCATACGACGATTGCAATTTCCGGTAAATTAAGTTTTTAGTTGTATCCTCTTCTGACACCAGGGTCCTTTTTTTTTGTAACGTGTTTCTTTTTATTTCCCGATGTTGCTAGTTGCTTAGTTTCACTTTGTTTCGAAAACTTTTTCCCTCTCGCATACCACATGCTCTTCCCCTGCTTTTCAATAAACATGCACTAGTTTATTTTTGTTTTTTTTCAGAATGCTCTCTATTTTTCAGAATGTGGTTACAGATTTGAATGGAGACTGAGCACGAAACACGTATTTTTATTAAGACATTTTCTTTGAGGAAGCGTTGTACCCAGAAAATGTAAAAATATATATCGAGGATAAGCACTAAACAAAATATTGCATTTTCTGAAAGTGAAAATTTCATAACAAGAGTTAAATTCTCCCCCTGTGGACCACCAAACTACAAATTTGAACGTAAAACTGGCATCTGAAAATCTGGGAGCCACCGTTTGCATAGATTTGAGAAGCTGCACAGGAAAAACGTATTGTTTCAGACTTTCAGGGCCGTTCCGGCCATTAAATTTGTTTTTTTTTTTGACAAAAATACAGATTCTAGAGATTCTACCGATCATTTGAATGCCAAAAAATTGAATTGGTTTCAGAAAGTCCCTACTTAACTCACCAAAAATCAATTTCACTACATATGATCTTATCTTTGGGGCGTGTCTTATAAATCGACATTAGCGCCGCCTGTGAGATACATATAATTTCAAAAAACTGACAGAATCAATATTTTTGCATATTTTGCACAACTTCAAAATTATTTATTCTTGTTGACAACATTTCTAGACACATCAAATCATATGCAAACGATTTCAGCAGACCTTTTTCGTTTCTCCAAAAAAAAATATTTATTTCTATGAAAAGCTAGATGTACTAGCCCAATGTTAGATTTCTCAAGATGTCTTCCTGAAATGATTTTTCTACGAAAGGAAAGAAGATCAAAGTTGAGAAATATTGAATTTTCTTGATTCTAATCTCCCAAAACACTGATACATTTTCTTTTTCAGCTATCCCAATCGTTGGTGATGACGAGGAGCTTGAAGTTCTGATTGATAAAGACATCTCTCTATCTTGCGAGCTGTTGACCGAATCTGATGATAAGACTACTTTTGTTTGGTCTATCGTAAGTCTTTCTGAACTGGAAAGTTAACAAATTGTTTTGTTCTAGAACGAAATTGAAAACGAGCGTCCCAAGAATGCCCAAATCCCAAGTGACGGACACCGAATGTACATCACCAATGCCAAGCCAGAGAATAGTGGAAAGTATATTTGTAGAGGTAAAAAACTGTGTTTTGAATTTCAAGCCGAATTTGTAATTTTTAGTCACCAATTCCGCCGGAAAAGCCGAGAAGGTCATCACCCTCAAAGTTCTGGAACCACCAGTCTTTGTTGAAGGAGAAGTGGAGACTAACCGTAAACTCATCGGCTCCAATCCAGTGATTCTGGCATGTCTGGCAACTGGAAATCCACAACCAATCATTACCTGGAAGATTGATGGAGAGGATGTAGATAAGAATTTGTTGTTGTGAGTAATTGTAGTAATAACTTTATCTTTTAATTGAATCTTTGTTGTAATGCGAAGACAATTAGAATTATAAGAGCTTTCAGGGATGAAAGTCACTTGAGAATTGAGACTCTCAACACGAAATCCGTACAAATTACATGCTCGGCTGAGAATAAAGCGGGAGCCATTTCTCGTGACTTCTACGTTCAGAACATTGCCGCGCCAACATTCAAGGATGGTGGAGAGAGCAGTACTACGGTGAGTCGAACTGTTAGATCTTTAAATGTTTTTTATTTTTTAATATTAATAATTTCAGTTCCGGGAATCTGACACCATCACCCTGGACTGCCCTGTGTCTCTTGGAGACTTTGAAATTACTTGGATGAGACAAGGAAACAAGCTAACAGTAAGTATTTCACACTAACCCCATTTAAAAAAAATCATATCCCAGGAAAAAGATGCCATCTTCACCCTTGACAACACCAGACTCTCAATTCTCAACGCTAATCGTAATCATGAAGATGTCTACACTTGCGTTGCCAACAATACTGCTGGTCAGGTGTCCAAAGAGTTCGGAGTCAAAGTTCTAGTTCCACCAAAGATCAAACACGTGCTAGTAACCTTGGAACCAAACGAGGGAGAGGAAGTTATCATGCAATGTAATGCAGAAGGAAATCCACAACCAATGGCAAGGTGGGATTTCAATCAGGGTCAACTTCCGAAAGACGCAAAGACGGTGAATAACAATCACACCGTTGTTATCCAGGAAGCCGATAAGAGGCATACTGGAGTTTATAAGTGCTACGCTACTAACGATGTCGGTCAAGCTGTGAAGACCATCAATGTCAATGTCAGAACTCGCCCAAGATTCGATTCTGGAGTCACTGATGTAAACGTAACAGTAGACCTTTCAAGATCAGCTACTTTGGAATGTGACACAGATGACGCGTTAGGAATTGCTATCACTTGGACAGTCCGTGGAAAACCAATGCTGGTCGACACCGATGGCATCCAACTGTTGGCTGGTGGCCGATTCTTGCACATTGTTTCGGCTAAAACCGAGGATATTGGAGAATACGCGTGTACCGTCACCAACGACGCTGGCGTGGCAACCAAGAACTTCAATTTGGCAGTTCATGTACCACCAACAATTGTGAATGAAGGAGGAATCTACACAGTGATTGAGAATAACTCTTTGGTGCTTCCTTGTGAGGTAACTGGAAATCCAACACCAGTGGTCACCTGGACTAAGGATGGAAAGCCATTGGGAGATTTGAAATCTGTGCAAGTGCTTTCCGAAGGACAGCAATTCAAGATTGTGCATGCTGAAATCGCTCACAAAGGATCGTACATCTGTATGGCGAAGAACAACGTGGGAAGCGCGGAGATCAGTTTTGATGTTGATATTATCAGTGAGTCAAATTTTAGGAGTTTATTTTTAAAGAATGAATTACAGCTCGTCCGATGATCCAAAAGGGAATCAAGAATAATATTGATGTGATCAAGGGTAACACCGCCACATTGAAGTGTCCAATTGAGGATGACAAGAACTACAAGGGCAAAATCATTTGGACGTTTGACGGACGAGTTATTGATTTCAACGAAGTCGGGCCTAGAATCAGTCATGTTTCGAACGATCGTCGTATTGCAATTCATAAGTGAGTTTTTGATGGATTTTTTGAAATAGCAGAAAAACGTACAGTATTGGTCAATAAGATAAGATAAGATAGTTAGAAACATATTTCAAGTTGATTTTTGACCATTTTGGCCAACTATTCCTCTCGAATTCTTGGATAACTTTTTACGCTCTTTCTAACCATGCACGTCTCAATTTTTTTCGAGGGCAACACTTGGGAATCATTCCATGTCAGGGTCCAATCCAATCCAATTCCCTTTTTTTCAGTGCTACTGAAGCTGACGATGGAGCGTACAGTTGCCGTGTCAAGAACGACGCTGGAGAGAACAACTTTGATTTCAAGGTCAACGTTCACGTCCCACCAAAGATCCTCATTCTCGACAAAGATCTCAACAAGACTGTTACTGAAAGTGGAAGCCTCACACTCTCCTGCCCAGCAACCGGAAAACCAGACCCAGCAATTAGCTGGTTCAAGGATGGAGATGTCATCCACGCGGACAACATCCAGAACATTATTCCAAACGGTGAGCTCAGTGGAAACGTGCTCAAAATCTCTAGAGTCATGGAGGAAGACGCTGGAAGATACACTTGTGAAGCTGACAATGTTGCTGGTAGTGATGAGCAAGATGTGATTGTTTCTGTGCAGACGATTCCCAAGATTGAGAAGGATGGAATCCCATCAGAATATGAATCTCAGAAGGATGAACGAGTTGTAATTTCCTGTCCGGTTTACGCAAAGCCACAAGCCAAAATCATCTGGCTCAAAGCTGGAAAGCCTCTGGAATCTGACAAATTCGTGAAGACAAGTGCCAATGGACAGAAGCTCTATCTGTTCAAACTCCGAGATACCGACTCCAGCAAGTATACCTGTATCGCCACGAATCCTGCTGGAAGTGATAAGAGAGATTTCAAAGTGAGCATGCTGGTGGCTCCATCGTTCGATGAGCCAAACATTGTTCGTCGCATTTCCGTCAACGCTGGACGCCACACAATATTGTCTTGCCCAGCCAAGGGTAGTCCGATCCCTACGATTACATGGTGAGTTGTGAGGGAAAAGCCAAGGAAGGGGAAAGAGTGGAATTGGTAATTTATTTGGTTTAGCTTCAGCCCTTCCTATTGAAATCCTTCCCGAACAAAAACAAATTACCTAAAAGAGAATTGAAAATAGGAAAAAAAGAAAGAAGAGGGAGAATAGAAGAATGAATAGAATTTTGATTAAAAAGAAAGAAGAAAAACAAGCAAACGGAAAAAAAAACAATACAACTCAAAATTGGAATTCCAGGCTCAAAGACGGTAGAGCCATTGAGCCAAACGACCGATACGTTTACTTGGATTCTGGAAAACTGTTGCAAATCAGTGATGTCGAAGGAGGGGATCAAGGAAGATATACTTGTATTGCAACGAATTCAGTGGGATCTGATGATTTGGAGAACACGCTGGATGTTGTGATTCCGCCAGTTATTGATGGAGAACCAAAAGAGACAATCAGTATAATTGAAGGATTCCCGAAGGATCTGCTTTGTGAAGTAAGGGGAAAGTTTCGAGAAAAAAAATCTGGGGTTTCTAAATTTGGGTAAATCAAATTTAGAGGCATAAAATCTGCATTCAGTGACATAACATTCGTGAAATTTTAAAAACATTTTGGACTTCACAATTTGAAGGTCTTCAAAAATGGCAACTCAGGCTTATTTGGAGATTCTCAGGTTCGGAAAATCCAAAACATTAGAATTGTAGGCTCCTGAAATGCTGAGATTTCAAAATTTCAAAATTAGAGAATCAGAGAAATGTAAAAATTTTGAAGTAATTTTTTCTAATTTTTTTTTCATTTCCAGAGCAACAGCACTAATGGAGACGTGGAATGGCAGAAGGACGGTCTCACAATCAACCAGCAAACTCTCCGTGGAGACAGCTTCATTCAAATTCCATCATCTGGAAAGAAGCTCAGTTTCCTCTCTCCAAAGAAGTCGGACTCTGGAAGATACACATGCATTATGAGAAATCCAGCTGGAGAGGCTAGAAAGGTCTTTGATTTCACCGTCAATCTCCCACCATCCATCAGTGACGAGCTCTCTTCTAACACAATTCTCACAATGGTCTCTAATGGAGTCTTGGAAATCAACTGTGTGGTTTCGGGATCTCCGCATCCAAAGGTCACTTGGCTCTTCAATGATGAGCCAGTCGAGAATGACGAGAACCATGAGTTCAATGCAAATGGAGAAACGCTTCGATTGAAGTATTTGACAGAGTCTCATGCTGGAACCTACACTTGCAAGGCGGAAAATGTCGTTGGAGAAGCTACAAAGGACTTCTATGTCAGATACACAGCCCCACCAAACTTTGACACTCAAGAAGAAGTGATTGTTGCCAAGGTTGGAGATTCGGTATTCCTGACGTGCCATGCCAAGTCTAGCACACCGATCACATTTGTCAAATGGTCTGCTAAAGATGAAGAGGTTGATGCATCTGACACCAAGTACGCGGCAACAGATAAGACAATGAATGTGACCAATATTCAACTGGATGACGAAGGAGTTTATTTCTGTACAGTTGTCAACGATGCAGGAAGAACAACGAAGTACTTCAAAATCAGTGTTATTGGTAATATCTTTTTTTTTTGAAATCAGACAATACAAAAAATTTGTTTATAGAACCACCATCGTTCAATGATAAACAAGAGCTCTACCCGATTGTGTATGGAAAAACGTTGTCTATCGATTGTTCGGCCATCGGAACACCTATTCCAACAATTATCTGGATGAAAGTGAGTTGTGGTGGCAGTTGAACATGTGTCGAGAGTTATCACAGATTATCTATGACGGGAATAGCTAAATTTTTTGAGAAAAAGAGAGACGGGAACAGAAAAGGCCACGTAATTTTGCATAATCGAACCGGTAGAAGTGGAGGAAAGGAAAAAGGGGAAAGGGGTGTGAATCAAGAATTAACACAGTGAGATGAGTGAGACAATAATTACAAAAAAGAATGGGAGCAGGAAAGAGAGATGGGATGATGAACAGACGCCGTACTTGTTGCATACTTTTCCACCGGCACATTCTAGACCGACACGCCAGATTGGTTTTTGGAACATATCCATGATTTTGTATTTTCGATAGGCATTTTGGCATCGTCGATTTGTTGGTTTCTGGAATATTGAAACTTTTTTTTTTGGTTTTTATACAGTTATAAAATCAATAAAATACAAAAAAAAATTTTCTATTGATTTCCGCCATTTCAGCGTTTTTCAGGAGCCTGGCTTGGCTTTGAAGTTTCTGACCAGTTTGAAAACTTTGTAAAGAATAAAACATACCTAGGTCGAAAACTTGGCATTCACAGAATTTTTTCAAAATTTCTATTTTTCCAGCCATTGGCCGATGTTTGAAAGAAACTTGTTTTTTTTTTTCAGAATTTCAGTAAAATAACGGGCCAAAAACTGGTGTCTTTCAGAAATCGGCACTAGCAGGAAAGATGGGAGTTTTCGAAAAATTTTGTAAATGCACAGTTTTTAATCTATGTCTGTTTTACAATTTTCGAAACTTTCAAAGTGATCGGAAACTTGAAAGCCGAGCTCCGGACTCCTGAAAGTGGGCAAAATGAACTTAAAAACCCGATTTTGTTACTGTAAGTGCTCATGATTTTGGAATAGATCGATTCTAGATTCTAGTTACATTTCAGATCTATCTAATTCAAATAATTACTTTTCTGAGGCCCGAGAAAAACCAACCAAATTAAAATCATAACAACATAGTTGACATCGATCTTCTGACGCAAATCCTGTATCCTGATCTATCGATGGACAATCGCATACCATTAAATGTGGTGCATATCGAGCACATGGGTTCTCACAAGTGTTATCGACGCATAATTTTTCCATTCTGAAAATAATCATAGTTGATTTTCGATTCGTCTCATTTTCGATCATTAAAAATGCAACAGAAAGATAAGAGAAACGTACTTTCGATCACACACGGAACCTGATGATTTAGTATGACACACGGAGTTTGAACAGCGGCCTCCTGAAAAATTCGGAATGAGAGAGATAGGTGTTAGTATAAATGATGACGATCATTGATTCCTACCAATGCAAAGTCTCGCCGAGTCGGTATCATCGCACGGCAGACCTTCCAGCTCGGCGCCATGCATTCGACATCTGGAGCACGCTTCTCGCTCCCATCGTTCACCGTTTGGTCTGCAAGAGAAAGGGATTTTTATGTTTGCTTATACATAAATAACAAAGTTTTTCTTTATTTTTCTAGAGAGAAAGGAATACTATAGTGACAGAAGTCGTTATGTGATACTCGTGGGAACTCCTTGAAAACTTGGCAAACTGAGTGTCACCTGACTAACCGTAGTATATTATGATGATGGGCCGCCATACACTGATGTTCCGAGTTTCCGCAGCACAAATAGCAATAGTTGTCCTCCTCGGCGTCGCACTCGCACTCCTGCATCCCTCGAAGTGAACACGCCGAGACGCATCTAGAAAAAGTCAGCTGGTAATCTCATTTCCATTTTCTCTCCGCGCCAAAAGTGCAAAGCACCCATAGCAAAATTTGCATAGTCCTTCTTCTCAAGCCCCTTGGTGTAATGGAGAAGAGGCAGGAAGGATAAGTCACAGTGGCATTTTATAATGTGGAAATAGCACACATATCTCTTTTCTTCCACACTGAGAGAAAGCCAATTCCAATTTCATTATATAAAGAAAAAGGGAAGGGCTCAGTTTGATTAGAAAACTTCTCATTAAGAAGATTGATGCATGAATACAAATGGAGGCAATTCTTGGAATTTTGGATTTTTTTATAATTCTTGTAATCCAGGTACAGTACAGGGATGTTCGGACTTTGGAAATCTACGAAAGTTCCGAAGTAATCGGGACAAACTTCTGATCGGAAATCTTTCTTTCCAAAATTGGAATATTCCGAAATTCCAAAATTCCAAACTTTTCAAAATCAGAATATTCAACATCTCTACATTCCCAAATTTCCAAAATCGGAATATTCCGAGATTCTGAAATTCCAATTTTTTTAAGAACGGAATACTTCAGAGTTTTCTAAATCCGAATATTTTGAGATTCCGAAATTCCAGAGTTTATAAAATCGGAATATCCCAAAACATCGAATTTTTCAAAATCGACATTTTCGACATTCCAAAAAAAACATCCCTAGATACTGTATCCTTTCTTGGGCTTGGCATTAAGTGTAGCAAAGTGACAGGTGTTTTTGTTTTCTTACTTTTATTTTTTTCAATCTAATTTCCGATTCCAGCCATCTAGAGTCAACGAAAAAAACCAATTCCAGGTTATTCCTCGACCCCCCCCCCCCCCCCTCCCTTCTTCTATTTTTACTATAACTTTCGTTCCCATTTCTTTTTCTCTCGGGTCCTCATTTGTCTTGTGATGAATGGAGAAAAACGGCAAAAATAAAAGCAGAGAAAAAAGGCAAAATGGGGGGGGGGGGGGTGGCCATGGGTGAGTGAGCCGGGCAAATAAATTCATTTGAGTTTAAAATGCGATTAATGGATGGGACGAGCAAGAGGGGAGAGAGGTGACTGCCAATTAAAATGACGACCTCTCATGCTCAGTGAACCAAATCCAAAATATACAGAATTTTTAATATAAAGGGGGTTTTTCCTCTGAATGGGATTACTGTAGAAAACAGATATTCTCCATCAAATTGGAACACATGTTTTTTTTGCTGTTCCATGTCTCGCCAAAGATTAATTGAAGTTATATATCGCCCCCCTATGCTGTCATGTGTCATTGGCTTCGGACCCTTGTGTGCCCACAATTTTCTATGTGTAGTATCAATAACACCTGTTGCGTTGTCATGCGGGCTACAATCCTAGAAATGGTGATTTGCCTTCTTTCAGGACCCATCGACGAGAGTTTTGAAAAAGCCCCAAAAACGTTCCCAAGGGATATATTCTCTTTAAGGTTACCCTCCTTCTTTTCTTCCTTCGTTTTTGGGCTCACATGGTAAGTGAGCGTATATAGTGGAAAGCTGAGAGTGTGCAAAAACGGGACCCCTTTAAAGAAGTGTGTCTAGAAAGCGAAAAGAAAGAAGAAGAAGAATTATCATTCATGATCGGAGGGAGTTTGATATGCCCTTGGGAGAGAGGCTTCTGGACAGAAGAGTGGTTTTTTTTCCTTTTTTGTACGATTTGTGAATGAGGAGGCTTGTTGAGAGAGAGCTAGCTAAATGTGTCACGAACACTTGTAGCATTTTTTTTTGGCTTTTTTCGGCTCCTAAGAAAAAATATATTCCAAATTCGCCATTAATGTTTTATGGGTGTCCCCCCCCCCCCCCCCTTGCTATCTAACCCCTTTCAAGACCGCATCTTTATCCAAGCGTTAAATTCTGAGCACATTAACTCGTGTCAGACGGGGTTGGCTCGGGTGAAAAAGTTTTTTTTTTCCTTTTCTGACAACCCCGCCGCCTTACTTAGCTATTCAAGGTATCTTCTTCTTCTCCTCAAGCGTGGAACGGTTAAGTTATAAGAAAACGTATTTTTTGCTCTCTAAAAAGCCCTATTGCTGAAGCTAATTGCGGCGGAAGCTGTGGGAAAGGCGAAGAAAAAAAAAAGAAAAGAGCGCCAATTGCACTTCACTACTTTTTTTCTTCACTGCTTCTTTTTAAAGTGTTGCCTAAATCGCCGCCGTTGAATAGAGAAGAATAGGGACAATGGAGATTCTCGAAACCTTTTTCAATGGGATTGCAAGTCCCAAAAATCGCCATTAGAGAAAGAAAAAATATATGTATATACCACAAGTTGACAAGGCAAGTGACAAGTGTTAGGATCTATCAATCTCTTCTTTTTGCTTAGGACAAGAACTTGTCCACAATAGAAGAAAAGGGCAGAACCAATGAAATCAGTGGTCAGAATTCCTCTTTTTTGGAATTCCTAACTTTTTTGCTCCTAGAGCCATTTTTTGTTTAAACTTTACTTGGAAAAAGAATGTTTGAAATTTGGAAAAAAGACATTTCAAAAAAGTAAACTATCCCCAAAAAGGGATCAAAAAAGGATCAAAAACTGAAAGTCATGGTCTCTGATTTTATGAGTTCTCCTCCCCTTTTCCCCTTTCTTTTTCACCCCTTGAATAGAATAGATTGGATTTTACTTGCTCTTGCTTATTCACACCCTTTTTGTGCTCTCTAGACAAAATTCTTATACATACAAACTATACGTATATATCACCAAGTGCATTTCGACTTCATGTATTCATTGATGTTAGAAGAGTAAAGTGCAAAAAGAGAGAATGTTTCGAACTCGGCACCATTAAGTCTTTTTTAACTGGGCGGGGAGTGCGAGGACCCCATTAAAAAAGACATTATATGAGTTTGAAAATGGGCTTACGTGTTGTTCCGGCATACGGTAGCCGCGTTCTCTGAGCAGATGTTTCCTTCCGTTGAGCACATGTGTGTCCGATGTTCGTGTTCGGCTCCAGTACATACTGCCAAGATGGATGCCATCAGAAGACAACAAAACACACTTTGATTCCGCTTCCATCGTATCATCATACTGGATGGGGCCGCCAGAAGAAAATTTCGGCGAAAATGTTGGTTAATTAGAGCGAGAATCAAGTTAGAAAGACGTGATTAGCGGTGCAGATAGGGCACGACACGAGCATGGGAAACGAATGGGGGGAGGAGGGAGCGGCGGCTTGGGGCGGGGTGGTCTGGGAAAAAAATTGGAGATGGCTTGGAGAAGCCTCCTGCACGGGTGTATGCTGTGGTGAGGGAGTGGCTAGATAGAACGAGAAAGCGAGAGTGCTGTTGGGTGTAGGGTCTCGAAACAGAGGAGAAGCGCTGAAGGAGTCGGGGGAGAATGAATAGATCGAGCTGGTGGGGAAAGGCGAGACTTAGAGTGCCAAACGCAAGTGACACGCCCCAATCCTTCACACATTTGAGAAGACGAAGAGGAATAGAGAAAAAGCAATGGAAATTGCAGAATATCAAGGATGGGAGGAAGGGGAAAAAGGACAAGTTTGATTAATGGATAGTGATGAAAGTGGTCCAGACTCTCTGGGCTCCAAAGATAGAAAGGTCATCTGGGATACTGATATTTGAATAGGACGGCTAAAGAAGGTCTGAAGAAAAATAGGTAAACAGAACATTCAAAAGTTTCGTAGTACATTTCCGAAATTTTGAGATTCCTGGACTCTTTATTAGATATTTAGTGAAGGAATCTCGTAATGATCTCAATTTTCAAACCGAAAAGGTCCTCAAAGACAGCAAAAACGTGAAAATCCGAAAATCCAAAATTTCCAAATTTGAATTTTTGAGGTTTCAGTCCACTAGGATTAGACTAACTTCTAGGATGAAACTAATCAAGTGATTAATTTTTGATCAAACTTGATCTTGAACCTTGAAATCCTTGAAATTCCCATGATAAATTTACAAGGTTTTAAGATTTAAATTTTCAGAGTTATTTCATACAGTTCGTGTGGACAAGGTTGTTAGGGATCTCTTTTGCTGACGGAAAATTGGAATTTTTGAATTTTTATATTTTTGACATATCATACTTTTGAACTTTGAAGTTTTCTGAAATTATAAAGACAAAAATTAATGTGGCAAATTTCAAAATTAAATCGAAAAGAACACTGAAACTTCATAAATCCCTCAAAAGTTTCAAAAGCTTTAAAAAACGAATTTGAACCATGAATTCCTCGCAAATTGGAATAGAAAACTGATTTTCATCAATAAAGGCACCATTCGGGCTTCCATTTTTTTATATGACTCTAAATTTCAGTTAAATTACGGTAGAAACTTTAATAGATAGGCGCCTAACTCTTAACTTTGAAAACATTTTTCTTGGTTCCTGTGAAAGATATCAAAAATGAGTCAACTGACAAAACACTTATGATATTATAATGAACAATTCATCAGTTGACTGGCTTTTCATACTTTATCACAGGAACCCCCATAAAATAGCTCAATATTAAAAGTTCAAGAGCTCCTCTATTACAGGTTTAACAATTTTCATTCAAGTCGGAAGAATTTACAATGTTTCCAAAAGACCTTTGAATTTTCTAGAGCTTACTGGTCTCTTGACGTGGCTATAAAACTTTTAGGAATAAAAAAAGTACACTTCCTTCCATTTCTAGACATAATGACTCGCTGAACTTTGTAAATAGTTTTGACCTTTTGAATTCCATACGCAACAACTTCCATTGGTGGTGGTAATCGTTTTTCCTCGCTTCTAGTCTCTTATCTAGCAACTCCATCACTACGAAAAATCAATGAAGAGTTGCTAAAAAGAAAAAAAAGAGAACAAAAAAAAACATTTTGAAGAAATATGTTGCATTCTTCTTATTCTTGTTGGTGGTTGCCCTTAGCAAGATTATCTAAGATTATCCACATTGGAAAGCCACGCGGTATATACACATAGCTTTTGTTTTTTTTTTGCATATTTTACACGTTTTTCATCAGAGATGTAATCGAAAAAGGGCAGCAGATCCTTTTTGAGGCGAAGGCAAAAATGAAAACGGAATAAAAGAAATAGGAATAATGAAAATTTATAGAAAACGAGCTATATAGAAAACGCGAAAAAACATATAATTCGCAATATACATTCAAAAGGTATTGTTATTGGGTTTCGTGTTTCGTTTATCTTGTAGCTCGTTTTTTGTCTTCTTGAACATTGAACACTTTGAACTTCGAAAATGGAGAATGAAATGAAAAATTTCATACATGAGTCCCGGGTTGGAGGTTTTCAACGAAATTGGGGGGGGGGGCAGCACTGGGTAAGGCGTGAGAGAGGACAAAAGGAGGGAGAAAGAGATTGATGAATCATAAAAGTTAAAACGCGCGCCGTCACCTCTCGTGCAAAATTTGATGCCTTATTGTGCAGTTGAACTCAAAATAATAAAAATAGAGCTAGCTGAATTTTTCGGAAAGTTTTACAGTGCTGGTCAATACGAAAAACGTTTTTTTTTCAGTTGATATATTGACATTTTCAGGAGTCAGGAGCTCGGCTGTCAAGTTTTCAATCACTTTGAAAGATTTGGAGAATGTAAGAACAGACCTAGGTTGAAAAATTTGCATTCACACCATATTTTGAAGATTTCTAGTTTTTCAGCTATTTGCCGATTTCTGAAGACATTTGTTTTTTTCACGTTTTCAGTAAAAAACTGGTCAAAAAGGGGATAGTTTCAACAATCGCAAAATGCCTGAAAAACTAGGAATTCTCAAAAATTCTGTGAATGCAAATTATTAATTTAGGTCTGTTTTACACCCTCTAAAATTTTCAAAATGATCGGAAACTTGACAGCCGCAGCTCCAGATTTCTGAAAATGATGGAAATGGTTAAATAATAACAGAAAAACACATTTTTGTATTTCTTACGGACCGGTATTGTAACTGGGATCCATGAGAATGTCAGCTCTAGAAAAACCGATTTTATGAATTTTGAAAAAAACTATCAGCAACAAGATATCATTCAATACTTAATTCATAGTTTTCATCTTAATTTCCAAGTAGAAAATTGTATTTTTTTTTTCAGAAAAAAAGAGCAAGAATTTGTTCAGTAACAACGACGCATATACTAGTTTACTGAAAAAGTGTATGGTCATATTTGCAGCCTAGACATTTCACATTTTTGGGCTAACTCTCGTTTTCCGCCCGTCTTTTGTCCACCCCTAGTTATTCAATTTCTCCAAATCCCGTTCCAAATCGCACCTCGTCTAAAAGCTGATGTCCCAAACAGACCGGCTCGGCTTGTTGTTGGTGTCAAAATAGTAGGAATTCCATTTTTAAATTCAATTATTGTAGAGAAGAAATTCTTCGAATCCACCACATGGAGCTCAGCGCTGAG